GGAATGACATACATTACGTTCTCACACGCAGTCACATACCCAGACATTAAAGCACACATTGCGTATATAATCACATATTTATAATACACACACAGGTATGCACACACAAGTTGCATATTTTTTCTTTACAAAGAAAATGTGACACAGAGGACAGCAACGCAGTGACAAAAAGGTACTGTGACACAGAAAACAGGAAGAGAGGGACAGAGAGGGAGAGTGACAAAGGGAAAGAGAGGTGGAAAGTGGCCCTAAAGGAGATGGTTTTAGTGACATACATTGTGTAACCTGAGCTTTTTTTTCCAGTTAGAACATTATTTGGCAAATTTGAAAACTTTTTTGCTTTTAAAAAAAAACCAAAATACACCCCAGAATTTTAATCGAAATGCATAGTTTATTCATCAACATATTTAAATTGGATTGTGTCATATTATGACGTGTGGCATTTTCTTTATTTTTGTCATTAGATGAAGCTAACACACATCTTCAGCTCTGCAATATATTCTCCTCATTTAATGTATTGTCATAGGCTATATTTACCTTTACCTTTTTAGTGTCTGTATAGTTTCTTTCTTCAAATCAAAGCAAACTCTGTTGCATCCCTTTCCACCTGTACATATACTAAGTGAAGGAAAAACATAATTTCATAAATTCTAAAATGCATTATCAAACGCATTACTTTGTAGCATTTTTAAAATGTGTTTCCTTTGATTTTGTACAGGCGATAGTTACAGGTCATTTTGCAGATGACGTGTAGATGCCATAAACCCATATCCTTCCAATTTAAATATTTTTGATGTGTTGTAAAATTATTTCCTTGATCTCTCTTCATATAAAATATCATGTGCAAATCGGCAGATACATATGTCCAAAAATCGGCCCCTAGCCAGCTGTAAAAGCTTATTTTAAGGTTCTGCTACATGACATCATTGATTCTGAACTGTGTACAACCCTAATAACAAAGCAAGCTGACAGCACTGCAATAGATCAATATAAGAGGAGGGGGCTATTCACTAAGCAGGGAACTGCGGTAAACGGAAAATCACATATGCAAAATGTAAGCCTAATAGGGAAGCTGTGAATAGTGATTTTTTTTTTCCACCTCAACAATTATGTTCTCAGTTTATCCTACTTAGTGTTTGAAATGTATTCTAATTTAGAGAATAAACCAGTAGGAGACCATTGTCTGCCTTGCCTTGCCTGCTCTCTGGTTACTGATTTGTGGCTTCAGTTAGTAGAAGATTTTCCTTACTAACCTTCATTACGGTTTGCAGAAAAAAAACACCTCCAGAATGTTTTGGCTGTCCTGGAAAGTAATGTTTAAGTGTATTTTTATCTCAGTATGCCTAGATTACACATTATTTAATGGAAACAAAAACTAAAATTTTGTCAGGACAAAAATAATTTGCCAATTAATGAGGTTACATACAGGAAAATAAATAACATTTCTCAACAGAAGATATATATATATATATATATATATATATATATATAAATATATATATATATCACTATGTATATTGTATATTTTGCCATATTACCATGACATTACCCATAACATATCACCCTCACATTGCAACACATACACACACTGATACATGTACGCATATATACACTTTGATCATTCATACACATGCACACTGTGATAAATACATGCCCGGACTGGCCATCGAGCAAACCGGGCAAATGCCCGGTGGGCCGCGATGGCCAGGGGCCAAGGCTGACAGGGGAAATCAAAGGATCTCCCTGGCCGGCCCCTTTAAGGCTGGTGCTGCTTGGCCTCCGACCCATAAAGGGAGCTCTGTGATCACCAGCATGCACTCTGATGCACAGCGCAGGCCCTGTGCACATGGTCTACACCTGTCAAGGGGTGTAGACCAGATGCTTCTTCCACTGGATCACCAGGGAAAATAATTCCTCCCCAGCATCCTTTCCTGCCTAGGATCAAGGTAGGGAAGAGGGATGGGGGAGTATGTTAGTTTTTTTTCTTGCCCCATGTCCCACTTCCTCACCCAGGAGTCCCTGCCCCTCCCTTTTTTACACTCTGCAGCCCCTGTCTAACCCACTCACCCTGCAGCCCCTGTCTCCCTCTCACCCTGCATCCTCTGCCCCTCTTACTCTGCAGCCCCTGTCCCCATCTTACCCTGCAGCCCTTGCCTCTCTCATATGATGCAGCACCTGTCCCCCTCTTACCCTGCAGCCCCTGCCTCTCTCATACGCTGCAGCCCCTGTCTCCCCCTCTCACCCAGCACTACCTGTCTTTCCCTCTCACCCAGCATCCCCTGTCTCCCCCTCTCATACTTTGCATCCCCTGTTGCCCCCTCCCACCCAGCAGCCCCTGCCCCCCAACTCAGCACCCCTGTCTTCCCCATTTAGCTTGCAGCCCCATGTGTCCTCTCATTCCCAGCATTCCCTGTCTCCCCCTCTTATACCCTGCATCCCCTGTCTCCCTCTTTCACACCATGCAGCCCCATGTCCCCTCTCACACCATGCAGCCCCATGTCCATTCTCACACTCTGCAGCCCCATTTCCCCCTTCCACACTCTAGATCTCTCATTCCGCCCTCACACAACATTCCCTATTGTCTCCCCCTCACACACACATCGCCTACCTGCCCCATACTACACGTGAACTGCCCTGAAGGGTATTGAACACATGTGCCCACTTTGGAGAGGCATGAATGTCATTGGTGAGGACACAACATGCACCATCTTGGGCCAAACGGCTCAGAGGGCTGCTCTGCCTTTAAATGCCTGGGCTGAATTTTTGTCCCAGTCTGACCCTGGATACATACACATATACACACAAACACACTGATGTACAGAGACAAACAATGACACACAGTCACATGCATACATTCGCAGATACAGCCACACAATCACAGTGTTTGTCTGGCAGTGTGTATTGGTACCTGCATGTTTATGTCTGACATTGTATAGCATGTATGTGCCTGAGAGTGTGTGTCTGGCAGTGAGTATCCTTGTGCATCTGTGAGTGTATATCTGTCTATATATGTATCCATGACTGTGCTTGCAATGCATGTAATTATATCTGTGTCTGTGAATCTGTTTGTGTCTTGGGTGCGTATATGTGGAGGGAGCTGCTTGCAGTGTGTTGTGTGTATGGAGGGGGGGCTGCTTGTTGCCTTGCTGTGTGCTGTGTGTTTACAGTGGGGCTGTGTTGTTTGTGCGATGAGTGATTGTGTGAGTATGAGGGTTACTGTATGTGGGGTGGTGCATGTACCTAAGGGTACCTATGTGTTTATGAGGGTAGCTGTTACAGGGTGGTTGTGACAAAGTGAGTGTGACAGGGTGACTGTAACAGGGGAAGCAACTGAGTATGTGTGGGGAAGGGGTGTGACATGGTGACTGAGTGTGTGTGGGAGGGGTGTAAGGGTGACTGAGTGTGTGTGGGGGAAGAGTGTGATGTAACATGGGGAATGTATGTGAAGAGGTAGTATGTGTGGAGACTGGGACATGGTAACTGAGTGTGTGCAGGGGAGGAGCGAGTGATGTGACAGGATGAGTAGAAGAGGGGGATGACAGGGTGACTGAATGTGTTTTGTCAAGAGGGTGTGATGTGACATTGTGACTGAGTGAGTGTGGGGGAGAGAATGACAGGGTGACTGAGTGTGTTTGGGGGAGGGGAGTGATGTGACAGAGTGCTTTGATCTTTATTTCCTAGTGGTTCAGCGGTTTCCCTGGTTGTCCATTGGGCTACCAGTGGAATCTGCCCTACGGCTGAGACCCATTGGAATTCCCCCTTCTGATTTCTGACAAGAAGAGAGCACTTTTTTAAGAGGGCAGCCTGAAGAGTTAGCAACACAATGCCATGTAGGCAGACTTCCCTACCGGCCCATGCTGTGTGTAGGAGATTGAGGAGGCTCTCAGCAGAACTGGCGCTTGAAATAATTTTGCAATTAACAAATTTAATTTGCAATGGTTATAATCATGTATACATGATTGCAGGATATTGTCAGGTACATATCCTAACAATTGTATACACCCAAGTGCCACCTTGAAGGGGTTAATATAAAAATAGAATGCTCGCTCATTTAACAACAAAGTCAGCTATTTTAAAATCTAAAAACCACGAATGAGTGTGTAGGGTGGGAAGGGCTTAAATAATGTTGTAGGAATAGAGACAAATTAACTGTCTACATGTACACATATACACTATAGGATAATTACCACCCCACCCCACATTTCCTAGAAAAAATAGAAACACTATTTTTCATAATATTCAATAGACAGTTTGTCCATGCCGATTACTTCAGTTAAAGGGTTACTTGGATGGGCTAATGCAGAGCTCATTACCCAAGTTGCAGTAGGCAGTGGACGACCCCTGATTTTTGTCAAGCTGGTCAAAAACTATTTGACACAAGGTCTTGAGGAAACAATGCCAAAAGACTGCTTCCACAATAATCACTACAATAAACTGAATTGGTTTTGTGCTTAAAGTGCCCATTTAATAACGTGTTTTACTTCGGTATAGTTATTATACTATTCTTAACCTCTTAAGGACCAATGACATGTTTAGTTGTCATCAAAATCTAATTACCAAAGCTGTTTTGTCAGCATAGAATGTCCTATATTTTAGTCTGAAACACAATGCCTATCTTTGCCCAGTTGTACTTTGAGTTTGGAACTATGTAAAATATACGGAAGCACAATTTCTAGGTATTCCGATGCCCAGGTCTGACTTTCCCAAGGTCCAATTTGAAATGCGCAGGTATTGTACAACATTATCATTTTAATCAGCTTGATCAGTATAGATAGTTCCATGCATCCTTACTGAAACTAAATAAATAGCACACACATACTTTTGACTGGGATACTTGTAGGTCCAATTTTTATGATGGCATAGATTATCATTGGTATGTAAGTGGTTAATGCTTTATAAATTGGCACATCATCATTATCAGTAGAAACATTATTACTTTCAGTGTGACCTTCATAATTTCAAGCGATGTTTAATTAAATTATCCCTTTATAGGTCAGGCTATGTTCCTTGGAGGAAGTAGTAACATTTTACAAGAAAGTGCTTACTTGGACAGCCCATGGTATGAGAGCACACGCCAGGCCTGTCAGCTCCGATTTTATTACCTAATAGAGGAAAACAACAGTTTGATACTGCAGCAATACACAGAGGAGGTAAGATTTCATTTACAGCCATTAATGTACTTTCAGCTGTATACGCTAAGCACAGATGGACTTTTCTTTTGCTGTACCAGCAAAATATTATGATGAAAAAAGAAACACTATTTATTTGCCAAAACCAGTCATTCATTTCAGATTTACCTTAAAGAGATGAATTTGCTATTAAGTAATTCGTATCCAAGCGCTAATTATTTCATGATTTTAATATATTACATTAAGTACTGAATAAAGTATAAAAAAAGCTAAAAATTCTGAAAGAATGCCTAAATTGGAGCTCTGTATAACCTATGCTCAATTTAATCATTATCATGTAAGGAGGTTCTGGGCCAAGGCTCCCTTCCATCACTTGCTATAGGTCCCACACATAGCAAAATACATCGTACGGAAGCTATGTTCCCTATTCTTGCCTATACAAGTACTTGTATGGCATGTTCACACAGAGTTGGAGGACAATATTTGAAGGTCAACTGTCATAACTTTTTCGCTCCTCATTTTGTTTTTCAAGTTTATTAAATTTCATGAAACTTCATTTTTTTTTTTTTTTAAATGACGTATATTCTTTTTCTTTTTTGAGAAATTTTCACTGGCCGAGCAACATTAACACTGTTATCTGATCAACTCCTGCTCAGCTTAATGTGCCTGCTGCAGTGATTATTCTATGTAAAACTGCAGCAGCAGGGAAGTTAGGTCGAGTAGCAGTTGGTCAGATAAAAGTAGAGTATGCAGATAAAAAAGTGAAAGTTTCTCAAAAAAATAAATATACATCAGTAAAAAAACAAAAACAAATCAAGTCTGGAAACAATATTGCAAAAGCTAATTAAATTTAACGACACATCTAACTTTTCTGGATTGTCGGCTCTGTTCGGGTTAATTTACCTTTCCCCGCTGACGACAATCAGGGCATGCCTTTACCTTTATAAAGGGGTATAGTGTGTTACGAACCAGCACTTATTATTACTTGTATATATTTGCACAAAACATGGTAGGTGGGAAAGGTTAGATTTGTCCATACAAGTGTTTTTAATTGTTATTTATTTTTATACAATAAACATTTTCTTACTCTTGGATTGGAGGCTGTAGTTCCAATTTTCAATTTTTAAAGTAGTATATCATCTCTCAGATTTGCATTCTGTAACCAAGTCTTATATAAGCCTTTAATAGGAGCTGTACCACTATTTGCCAAATGAAAACTGTTTTAAAAACAAACTAGTGGGAGATATGTTGGAATGTCTGCACAATTCCGTGTGGCTAAAGCAGCAGTTAGCAAATGTGTAGGACCCTTTGCTAGTCTGACATTGTGTAGATTTATGCATAGACTGGTGGCATGTGCCTTTAATGCTCTCCCTACTGACCCCCTTGGGATATTTCTGCAGCGTCTGTGGCTGATGTGGCTTCAGACTTCAATGAGTATGTATACCATTCCTGTCCCTGCCAGTGACCTCAGGATCAGATGAGACAATGATTATGATATGTAAAACATAACGTAAACCAGTTGTCGTGAGTAGAAATGGCATTCGTGGTAAACTGAGGCTGCGTCTCTTGCGTATGCAAAAATCTCTGTGAATGTTTCATTATACTGTGCAGGTCATACTGATAGGAGTTGCATGGATATATTATGAAACAACTTAGAACTCCAGCAACCTTCACCTGTCAGTTCTATATATATATATATATATATATATATATATACAGTGGGACCTCAGTTTACGAATTTAATACATTCTCTGGGACGTTTCTTATTGCAAAATTTTTTTAAACCGAAATGCGGTTTCCTATAGGAATGCATCGAAAACCAATGAATCTGTTCTGGAGGTCAGAAAAAAGTCAATATGAGCTGGCATGGAAACCAACCCACAACACACAATAGAATGCAGAATGCAGGGGGGCGGTGCTATAAACCTCCCAGGTGCAATGCTTTGTATTGCGAAATTTTTTTGTAAACGGATGAATTATTTTCAATGAATTTTCATTTATCGTTTAAATTATGTTAACCGAGGCGTTTGTAAGCCGAGGTCCCACTGTATATATATATATATATATATTACATTTTCCATATGTGTAGGACTTTTATGCCCCTTCGTTAATACTTACCCTCTCCCGGTGTGCCTTATGCTATCCAGATGACAAATGTTAGCGTGAGATTTGGTCAGCAGATCTGTTTAACCACAGAATGTCAAAGAATTCTAACTGTATCAAGGTGTTCCAGTCTTACAGCATCAATCCCAAATGCATTTCCCCCCAAAAAAACATCACAATCTACTTATTGAAACTATGCTTTTGACACTGCATGAGTTATAGAAAATAAATAAAATACAGGCAAATCCATTACCCTGTAATTTACTGAAACATCTACTTCAAGACACTCATATTACTTATTATCTCTGTATCCTAATCATTTAGTTTGTTCCCTAAATTTGTGTTATCATTTCACATGAATGGAATTTGATTGCTCACTGATGTGAGCATTCTCAGTTTTAATTGATGCCTAGCTTTCTGATAGTCTCACATTTCTGCCTAAGTGGATGCCATTAAAAATCATTTTTGCTGTTTTTTTTTTTCTCACAACATTTATATATTATTTTAAAGGACAACTTCTGACTTGTGTTCAGTAAGTTACATCAATGTTTATGTTTTCAAAAAAGTACATTTTCTTTGTAGGTAGAAGAAATACTTTTTGAACAAAACACATCAACGGGAGGTCAGTGGTTTAAAGGGGAAATCAATCTGCAAGAAACGTCAAAAAGATTTAAGGTATTCTAGATGTCATCATTGAATTAAAGTATTCTATTCATTAAAACTATGTTTTTTGATCTATTAAGGTGGTGATTCCAATTAAACTTATGCTGTTAGCTGAGGAAACAATGGTTTAATGAAGAATTAAAAGGAGCATGTGCTTTACGGTTTTTCTCTTTTGAGCTCTATGTTTTTCTCTAATGACAGCCAAGTGAGGGTAATTAAAATTCTCTCTCTTTTTTTTAAAGAGAAATAACTACTAAAGGGTGGAAAAATATAAAATTGATTTGGACATTAAAATAAAGTTGACGTGCAACAGTCTGTATATAAACAAGCAAAAAATGGTTCTCAAAAAATAGAAATGTTATTATTATCAAATCCTTCTTGACAAGATTCTTTGTATAATACTTTCAAAATGAACTCTCAATTTGTACACATCCACAAGTAGTGATTCCCGACCAAATCGTTCGCATTCCGCATCTTCTCCTCTAAGCCAGTCTCAGTCTCAATCTATCAGCATGATGCTTTTCACTCTGCCCCTTGGATCTTTTTCAAATGCGAGCTCTGTTTCGTGGGCCAGCATTATTGCTTTAAGAGCAGTATGGGAGATGTAGTCCACAGCACCTGGAATGGTGAAAGTTGCCTATTCTTGCAATATAGGTATTCAAGTGCAGGGCCTGCCAAAGAGATTTCCCCTGTGTGCCTCTGCCCCCCAGCAGATCAATGGGCTGGCAGGTGATGAAGATATTTGATCTCCCCACCGGCTGTTCCGAGAGATGCGTGTTCTTTTGTTACTGTTGTTTTTCACAATACGTGGTAGGGGTCTTTGTAGAATCACGTCCGAAATAGATACTGACTCATCTATATGCAAATTAAATATTTCTGAGATATAAGAAATGTAAAGTAAATTCCAAATTAATTTCAATACTGTAATTATTGTAATTTTTGCATGTGTGTAATGTTTTCATAGCTTTTTGACCTACGTTCGTTTAACAGACTGTGCATGAAAATCTAGTATGTTATCATTTAAACTATTAATAACATATGAATAGGCAGTTTTAATTTTAGTTTATTCAACTTTATGTTGATGTTATAGATAATTGAAATCATGAATCAAAGATTTGCTTCATTGAAGCATGATCATTTCTAATGGCTATTTATGAGCATATAGTCAGTAATTATCCATGGCCAATGCTTTTAATTCTAAATTGGGTACTCTGGAGTGTTACCAAATTAACTGCTAATTTTACCAGCGATTGGAAGTGTTAACCACTAACCAGTAGACGATTAGGTAAAAGGATACATATCTGTGAATTACATCAGCAGATCTTGTTGGGCTGGGTTCATATGATGGTTTTTCAGCAAGAGGGTCACAAGAAACTATTATACTTGTGAAGGCCCAAAAAAAACCCTCAAACCAAATGGACATTTTTGCTAGGTAACTCCAACAGTCGTGGATGGGTCAGTTTGTCTAAAATTTATTCAGAAAGAAACCTTAAGGATTTTTCTCACGCTATGCAATATCAGTCAGAGCGCTCTGATTGGTTGGCTTGTAAGATAACCAATCAAAGCTCTATGACTGAGCTTGATAAGCAAGGGAAAGTCCTCATATAGGGTTTCCCTGCCTTGCAAGCTAATTCTGGGCTTTTTCAGTTTTTTAGTGTTGATCCAGTTTTTATGGTTTATTTGCATTTATTTTAAGATAAATTGTTTCCCAACAGGTATTTAGACACATTGGGGCATGAACGATGTATACAACCTCACTTGTTGGTTATAGTGACCCCTGTAAGCAGTTTTAATTATGTGCATGCTGGCTGTCAGTGCCCTTATGGGGGGAAATAGTAACCTCTACTCTCAAAGCAACAAGCCATTGGGCCTTTCGGCTGCTTTGGGATTAGTTCATGTGTCATCTTGGAGTTCTTCTGATACTGATTCTCAAAAAAACATGCATAAAACTCTAAAATGGACAATAACAATATCTACTAGGTTAGTTATTATGGTGAAATAACTTCTCTCTTTCCCTGATTTTGACATAATGTAATTTGTACAATTAAACTAATCTGTGTTTGTATAAAAAAAGGAAGATTTGAATGCTGTTAAATGTATTGGACACTCTAAGATTAAGCAAACCTATACTTTATTAATGTATTGTAGAAATATGATATTAGTATTCCTGATTACAAATATGATAGTGTTAGTGCATTAATATATTCTCTAGCCATAAATTATAAATCTGTGAGGTCAATAAGATTTTAAACGAGAGAGCATAGACTCAGTTGCCCCTAGGGTGACCTAGCCTAAATATATAATTTAATATATATATAGATATGTCTGTCTATTTATTTTCTATTTAATAAGCTTTCCAAAGGATTTGTCTACAGAAGTCCCATTAAGGTCTACAGTGATGTTTGTACAGTGCCATCCACTAATATTGGCACCCATTGTAAATATAAGCAAAGAAGGCTGTGAAAGTTGTCTTTATTGTTTAACCCATGGGTCGTCAACCTGGTCCCTACCGCCCACTAGTGGGTGTTTCAGGATTCCAGGTGGGCAGTAGGGATTTCCTCATTTTGAGAGATTGGGCGAGCGGGTACCGCCATCACCATTTGCGGCCCCGCCCGCCGTCCAAGGGATCCATCGGGTGCTGTCAGGGCTACCCGATGGATGTGGATTGTAAGGGGGCCCGGTCTGCACTGGGCACTTTAACAGCGCGACTGAACCCTGTGATTACATCACACGCTGGGAGGAAGTGACTGCACATCACTCCTCCCAGCTAACACACAGACTGCGCGGGAGAAAGACCAGGGAGTCAGAGTAGGAACTCTGACTCCCATCCACCTGAGCCACCACTGGACCCCAGGGTATGTCACCCTCCTGCACCTAAAAGGTAGGAAACAGGAGGGTGACTAAAATATTTTGTGTGTTTTTGTTTGTGCGTATGTGTCTTTGTATGTATGTCTTGTTTGTGTGTGTCTTTGTATGTGTGTGTGTGTGTCTTTGTATATATGTCTTGTGTGTGTGTGTCTGTATGTATGTCTTGTGTGTGTCTGTATGTATGTGTGTGTATGCGTCTTTGTATGTATGTGTGTCTTATGTATGTGTCTTTGTATGTATGTCTTGTGTGTGTGTGTCAGTCTGTATATATGTGTGTATGTATGTTTGTCTTGTCTGTATGTCTGTATGTATGTGTGTATGTGTCTATGTATGTATTATGTGTTTGTCTTTGTATGTGTGTGTCTGTGTGTCTGTGTGTCTGTATGTATGTGTGCATGTATGTGTGTGTGTGTGTCTGTATGTGTGCCTGTCTGTTTGTATGTATGTGTCTTGTGTGTGTGTGTATGTATGTATGTATGTATGTATGTCTGTCTGTTTGTATGTATGTGTCTTGTGTGTGTGTATCTGTATGTGTGTATGTGTGCCTGTCTGTTTGTCTGTATGTATGCATGTCTGTTTGTATGTATGTGTCTTTGTATGTGTGTATGTGTTTCTTGTGTGTGTATGTGTGTGTCTGTATGTGTGTATGTATGTGTGTCTTGTGAGTGTGCCTGTCTGTTATAGTGGGCTATAGTAAGTAATAGTAAGTGGGCTACCTAGCTCAGCCTTCCTACTGGGCATTGCTATAAGGAAGGTTAAAAAATAGAAAAAAGGAAAAAAAAGTGGGGAGGGGAATTGAGGAGGGAGAGGAGGGAAGCTGACGCACAGATGAGAAATCATATTATGAGCAAACAGAGAAGTCGTCTGAATATCACCAAAAGAGGAGACCTTTGTTTGTTCCTTACGAAAATCGAACCAGATATCAAATATTTAGTCTCGCAGCATCAACCTCAAGGATCTCATTAATCACTAGTAAATGTAATTTCAGTTTATTTTATTGTTTTCTCATTAAACTTTATAAAGTTAAAAACATTAGATACATGCATTAAGTAGAAATAAAAAGATAAATGTACGTACATTTATTTTTTTAAAACGCCCTCCTTTCTTAAAAATATTCTGCACTTACGCGAAAACTGGTGGGCGATAAGGAAATTTTTCCTTCAAGAAAAATGCATTAGTGGGCGGTAGGTAGAAAAAGGTTGACTACCACTGGTTTAACCTTTTGATCTTTTTTTTTTTAAATACACAACAAATCTCTGGATATCAAACAACTGCAAACACAACACAAGTTTAAAAAAATGTATCTCTGTTAAATATTTATGTGGCACAATTATTGGCACCCTTTTAGTCAATACAATTAGCAGAGGGCAGTGTAGATAAATCATTTGGAGAGTTTTTCCAACAATATTGAACCAGTTGGAACATTTAAATTGAGGCATATCTTTCTATCTGTCTCTCTATCCCTCCATCTATCCATCTATCTATCCAATGGAAAGGGCATAGGCAAAGTGAATTAACAGGGTAGCCATGATAATTAGGATACTGAATGAAGGTATGGCCATTGGACACTCTAAAATCGAACAAACCTATTCTTTTTTAATGTATAATATAAATATTATATTATGATACAAATATGATATTGTTAGTGCATTAATATACACACTAGCTATAAATGACAAATCTGTGAGGTCAATACATTCTTAAATGAAAGAGAGCATAGACTCAGTTGCCCCTAGGTTGACCCAGATCCTAAAAAACGCTTCAATGAACATGGTTATTGGTTAGAAATTTAGCTGTCACATTTAGACTCTAAACGAATTGCTATCTGATGTTGAGCATGTTTTTAGGATTACCAACTAATTTGCGGTATAAAAGATCAATTTGATACTCTGTATAACTGGCCTTTGTGTGATACTCTGTAAAACTGGCCAAAGAGAATTTTACAGCATTTTTGTCAATTACTGAATTATGATTCTACAGCTGCCCCATCTTGGAAAAAGTTTGGCTTTGGTACGTTTCCAAAATGAAAACACTCAAATGAAAGAATCCATCTGATAGGATGATCAATACCAATCCATCATTAATAATTACCTTAACCCAATGGGTAAAAGTGCACACTTTCTTAATGCAAAGTTTGTCAGTTTGCAGATTGTATGCATAAATTACCATTCAAAATTTTCACAGCATTAATTTATTTTGAAACATATGAAAGCTTGTTTTTGAAGGAAGAATTAAAGACAGCCAAGGATACATTGCTTTGGATGGGCTGGGAGTCATTGGCTCCACAAAGCTGCCTGAACCTGCCAAAGAATTTTGCCATAGCCGACAGTCAGCGTGTGATTTTCAGCAGGATTGTACTGATGGAAGTGATGAAGATCCAAAATATTGCAGTAAGTTTATTGCACATGACTAATTATTCTCCTTCTCGAATCAATACACAGATACACACACACACACACACACGCACACGCATTCACACACACACAGACAAACTCACACACACACACATATTACTGTACAATGTAAGACACATTGTGCTCTTGTTTTCTTTCAATACATGTGTGTGTTTGTGCACAAATATAATACGCAGTGTACATTAATATAAATAAACATAAAGGCCACTATAGCAAAAATTTTAAAAATGGTTGATTTGGAGAATTTTTTTCCAGTTTTTCTACTTTTTTTCTAAACCATATCACTGTCAGTACACCACAAATCCTGCTTTGCTGAATAAGTTCCACAGAGATGTTTACTTATAGTTAGTCAGTTTGAAATATCTGCAATAATAATTAAAATATAAAACAAACACGCTTATTTACTAAAGTGTGAATTGCCAGAAATGTTAAATGATTTGAAAGTGGATTTTTGGGTCAAAAGAGTAAATTGGAGAAATTCTCCAAATCAACACTGTTTTCACAATTCAGTTATTTTAGCTTAAAAATTAATTTATTATTATTGAATAACTCTGATACTGTAGATAACAGTAACTGAGTCTAAATAAAATGTTATTTACTACAGTTTTAACATGACGTGTTATTATACCATAATTCTCATAACGTGACATTAAATTTATATGTAGTTAATGTAAAAACATGTGTAGCAGTTCAGCACTAAATAATCAGCATCCCCTGACAATGACAAATATTCAAACATATTTTTTGATATGTAGGAAATTTTACCAGATGTGACTTTGAATCTGACTTTTGTGACTGGATTGTAATAGAAACAGATGGCTTGAGTTGGAAGGTAGCCAACAAAAAAAAGTCATCTGATCACAACCTCCCAAATAAAGACCATACAACTAAAACAGAATACGGTAAGTATATATTATATGTCATATATTTCTTAAAAATAATTTTCTATGTCTAACTTGTAGTAAAACATTTTATCTACCTTGCGTCTCAAGCTATTAATGCATAACAGGATGAAAAGCATGATGGCAATTTTACACAAAGTTACAAAATATTAATCAACTTAAGGAATTTGTCATTGTGTGTTTTCCAACTAAAGCCAAGTTGGTGGAACAGTTCCATTTTGAAACTTCTGTCCTATTGTCCGGGCCGCATGTGACCTAGAATCGCTAGCAGTGCGGCCCGGCTGCAGTCTGGGTGGAGAGGGACTGGACTGGGCCATCCAGGCTGACAGTTCTAAAAATAAAAAATCTGTCATTGAAACAATTTTCCCCTCGGACTGAGACGGCCTGTGTTAGTCTGAGGGGATTAATGAATGGTGTTCTGGGGGAGGTCGGAGGGAGCACTGTGAGGCACTGTGAGGCTCCCTTCACCATTCTCTGCAATTCCGTGTCCATGTGTGGATCTCTGATTGTGTGTACAAATTTGTTATTATGCGCATAGGTCTGTGAGTGTATGTGTGTGTCTGGAATTATGTTTATATAGGTTTGTAATAGTGTGTGTGTGTTTATGTGATTGTGTGTGTATATCTGTGGTTATGTGTGCATATACATGTGTATATATTTAGTAGATAGCGCCCTAATTTGGTATCCTTAAACATGGCAATTCCACATAAGGATAACAAATAAGGGAGTTATCTACTAAACAAAATTAATAAAAATGGTTTTAAAGTTTTAGTATATAAATTAATTATATGATAAATTTTATGTGTGGCCCAAGATAATTCCTCTGCACTCAATGCGGCCCAGGGAAGCCAAAAGTTTGGACACCCATGCTTTAAACTGATCCACCACATGCTGTGCTCTCCCAGTTCACTTGAACCATGGTTGACGTCATTAAAGGGGGTGCAAGCGTTCTCTGAAATGTCATATCTTTTTATGGTCCTGAGCATCACCAGAGACAGTTTGCATAAAATCCCTGCACAGGTCTGCCCCTACAAAATTGGACTGTTTTCCTTGTTTTGTACCTGGGGAATGTTGTCTGGTATATGAATGGAGATATATAATGATTGCCTTGCTTGTGAGTTTGCATTTTAAATTTCTAGAGTGTATTACTGAAAAACATAGAATGGAGAATAAAAAGCAGAAAAGCAAGTTTAACGTGTTAGCAGCTTGGTGGTGATAATTAGGGGTTGAATGGTAGCAGGTTGTGAATCATGCTCTAAAATACAAAGAATCTGTTAGTTGTTGTTACAAGGTTGTTAGCGTGTTCACGTTTAATTGGTACAGTGAATGCAGTGACTGCAAAGATTGTCCTGAACAAACAGAGAAGGAAGGAAGTGGTATCTGTTTAATGGTATGATGTACATGCTTGAATACAAGGTGTAATGGTAAGGAGGTGGCAGACAAGGCTAGTTTCTAAGAAAATGGTATGTCCAAAAAAAAAAGCATTAAAGAAAGATAAACAAATGATCTCTATGTAGAGCTGCTATTCAATATTATTTGTTTATCTTTCTTTAATTTTTTTTTTTTGGACATAAAGTCGTATATTCTTTATTATAGAGGTAAGGCACTGAAAATAGATGTATACAGGTAGGGCCCTATTCTTTTTAGTGAAGCAAAAACCAAGAAATCTATGGTGGGGAACATTGTGATTAAAAGCCATTTCCACCTGAAGTCAGTGGATAGTCAATACATTGTGAAACACAGATCTGCCCACCAGTCAAGCCATAAGACCTGCTTTTCCCACATAAAGCTCAAATTTGCTGTGATATTAGTACTGCAAAGGATTCTGGGTGGGAATATGCAAACTAGTTCAACAAGGAATCCCATTTTTGCCTCATTACTCCATTTTAAACATGGGTTCCTTGGAGTTTGTGTTTGCTGTATTCAACAGCTTTAAAACCAAAATCAAGAAGAGATGCAAAGCCAGTGAACCACTTATGGACAGCTGTTTTGTTGTTCAGACAACTCATCAGCATAAGGTTGGTTACTGGTTTGCTATTGAGGCTTGGCATCACTTGCAAACCAAAAAACAAGAAGTTATCGTGGGGAAAACTTGTGATTGAAAACCCCTTCAACCTGAAGTTAGTGGATAGTCAATACATTGTTAAACACAGATCTGCCCACCAGTCAAGCTATAAGACTTGCTTTTCCCACAGAAATCTCAAATGTGATTCTTTAAAAAAAAAAAAAAACTAATTTGCATATGTCCACCCAGAATCCTTTGCAGTAGTAACATCAGTGCAAATTTGAGATTTCTGTGGGAAAAAGAAAGTCTTAACTTGACTGGTGTGCAGATCTGTGTTTAACAATTTATTGACTATCTTTTTAGTGATTAATTAATGGAAGGAATTTGCACTCAAAGACTGTACAATTTTAAAAGGATCAAATGCATTATGTTGGTTTACAGGAATAGTTCAAAGAGAAAATTAAAATGTTACATATGTGGAATCAAACTGAGATTCTCTATAAGTAATTACATATAGCTTTCATTTAGCCTTATGGCTAACTAAAACAGAAAGGTTTCTCTGGATAAAGAAATGTAAAAAAAATATCTTCTGTGATATAATTCTTTTCAAAACATGCTTCTCATGGATACAAGAGATAAGTTGATACAAACAATATATCCAAGAAAATAATCTAACTCAAGGCTAAACAACACATGTATTAGAACTGCACTATATTATCTAAAGCTTTACTTAAAGCTGAGTAGGATTATAACATGTTTGATCAAAGTATAAACATAACAACATAGTATCAAATCAAGCTTAAAACCAATGTAAGAATTAGCATTATTCGTTATTATTATCTATGATACTTGGTGTATCAGCCTCTTAGATCTGGGCCACAATAAGTATGGATGAGATAATGTTTGGACCATATCCTAACATGACTCTTCTGATATAAAATGAACGGGAAAATCTCACATAACAAAATACAAGCTGTTCCTATGATAGAAGTTATTTAATTTATTTATGACCTTGGGGGATAACAGGCGTGATTTTGTGAGGCAGGATTGGCTTACAAAGGTAAAAGCAAATATCTATAAATAATGCATTTGTGAATACTAAAAGGAGATAAAAAAATACAGGACTACTTAACAAAAAATCCTAGTTTTAAGAGAAACAAAATAAACCATTTGAAGTATCAAAAACATTTGATCAAAAATGTATTAAAACATTTTTTTTTTTAAACTTTACTTTTAATTATGTCTATGCTAAAATATTTTGGGCATTCTCTATGTTCCGTAGTTTGTATTTTAAATAGAGTATTGCTTTGAGGAGTAAAAATGGCTTAACTTTTCTTCTATTCTCCAATAAAAGGCTGCTGATATAAATAATTTAAATTAGGCATGTATTATACAAAAGCAAAATGTATGAACTTGCGGAAAGGTTGTTCACTCATCCATTGCCTTGTCTCTGTAGTTACCATGTATTCAAAATAGCAATATGTAGCATCCTTGACATTAATAATGTACCATCCTTGTACAAGCCCAGGGGGTTTCTCCAGTATTTTTTGCACTCAGATTGTGGTCTGTTCACTAAACTGCAAGTAATGGTGAGGTTACGTTGCAACATTAAGTTAAAATAGGAGATAATTCTCAAACCAGCTTTGTTATTTTTTTTTTCCTAAATATACTATTTGAACTTTTTTTTTTGCATTTTGGTTGTTAACTAAATTGTGCTGAGACCCCCTTTGACTTTTACCAATAAATTCAACTATCATAATCACAATGTTCACTATTATGCATTATTTAACTTTAGATCTACAAAGCACGACAGAAGAAAGTGTTCATGTCAATGTAAACAGATATTAAACTGAGAATGTGTTTTCACCTTTTCACACTTCGAACTACCAGATACATCTGCCTTTTTTTCCTAGATCTCAGAAACCTATTGGGATGTCCCTTTAGGTTACGCAAAGTACAATAAAGAGTTTCTCTGTTTTTTCTTGTGTATGATCTGTTGGATTAGATTCTCAGATGCTGGCTTGGCAGAGTTTCATTGCAGTATTTATGCATATGCTATACAGCTAGGTACCGGGATCATGTATCTCTCTAGCATGGAACGCAGACAATTTCCGGAAGCCTTTGCCAGATCAACAAGGCTCCCTCCTCTGTCTTGTATAGCTCTTATCCTATGCATTGTGTCCTAACCTGCCCCTTTTGCTTATGATCTATTTTCAAAACCTTAGATGTTGTGACAAATGCTCCTTCCCACGTACGCTTGCCATGGACTCCTGGAGGAGTGTGGAAGCCGGCCTCCTGCCCACCGACTATGGTCCAGGTCTGGGACACCATTTTGAAGTTACTCTGCCCAGCTGCCATTAACAGCTTTCCCTGGGTGCCCTTGGTTCGGCACTTTCCCTTCATAAGAATGGAACCGAACGCTGGCTCTCTGGCAGGCGTTCGCATGAATCAAACCCAAAAATAGTCCCAGCTGTACTTAGCCGCTACCACTATGGAACTAAATTCGTCATGAGGACTTTGTGGGTTCCCGGTCACCTCACAGGGGTGTTTCCCCTACATTGCATGGATAAGAGAGCTATTTGAAGAACTTTGGCGCTCAAATCAGGGCTATTTAACAATGTATTATTTGTGGGGTTGTTTGATGTTTTTATTATGTTTTTGGGTATTTTTATGTTTTATATTTTTATGTTTGCCTCTCTGTTCCTGGGAGATAATTAGCTTACCGGACTTTAACTCAATTATCTCCCAGGCCCAGAGATTCCTGGGAGGGACTTGTGTTGAAGACAATGAAGACCCCCTGCTGGGGTCTGTGTATAAATAGGCTGTGTTTGAATGCATTAAACCAGTTGTACTCCAAAAGTTATGTCATCTAGTTACTGGGAGGGGAAATGGCTAATCACTGTTCCAGCTTGTTCCAGCTCATGGATGATTCAGTGGGGAAAGTCCTTGTAAGGACTAAAGCTCCCAACGCTGTGTGTCATCCAGTCCCTGGGAGGGAATAGAGCTAGTCCCCTATCCTGCTCCAGGAGGACTCCAGCCAAGCCATGGTGACTGGGGCAGAAGCACTGAGATTTTCCCCTGTTCCAGCTAGGAAGCGGTCCTTGGTGGAGGTACCCAGCCAGGGTACAGGGAGCTCCACTACAGATGTGCATTGACTTCAACCAATGCCTTCTGTTCTCTGGTTAGTGACTGTTCACCTTGCGTCTAATCCTCTCCCTGCTTGCTACAATCGGAGATAGTGGTCAATGGGTTAAATAACTTTTTGGCACACTACTTGTAATTCAGGTTCCAGCATGCACAAGTCAAACTTACCACTGATTAGATGAGGTATTTTAGGAAGCAGAGTCAGCTGCACACCGATATCTATGGTAGCCAAGATGACTGTTGTCAGGTGATATAAATGGTAAAGAGTAAATGTGTTTCACTTTTGTTTTTCTTTATGGGTCAAACACCAACTTTTTTTGTTTACATTTTTCTGTACTTTTATCTTTTTATTTTACTTTTTACATTTAAAAAAATGTCCTACCAGAAAATGTCATGATCTAATGATCTAATAACAGACCCATAAAAATGTATAACAGGTTCAGTGATCACATTATGTGTGCTTTACTTCTTGTGATCTTAATTATGCTAAGCAAGTGTCTTCTGCAGTTTTTTAAATTCTTTGTCCCACTCATTCCTTACTAAAAGTGTGTTCCAAAAATGAAAATGAGAAATAATGTAAATATTTGTTAGACTTTTTTTTTTAAACTAGAAGATCCACAAATACTATTTCTACTACCAGTATTTGTCTATCCTTTATTTTACCACTGTGGTAAGGTCTGGACCAGAGGAAGCCCTTCATGATGACAAATATCCACATTTACTATTATTAGATAAAGTAGCTGTTGCTGGATGTTACTTGTAACTTTCTTTTAATATTAAAACATCTACCATGATCATCATCTGGTTCACTTCATCTGCTTCAACCTTTGTCCTGAATCTTTATTAGTGCAACCACACAAACACAACCTCAATGTGTAAGGTATATATATATAAATCTGTTACCTGGAGTAGATGAATTGATCAGAATACATTGGGATAAAGATACTCCATAATACGGTAACAGTTAAAGAGGGAGTATGCGCACTGTGCCTTTAGAGGGCACTGCTCTTCTTTATAGCAGGAAGCAGGAGGAAGACATGGGAAAATATTGAATATTAAAAACAAACAAATAAAAATACCACAAATAGGTAGTCCCAGAATTAAGTCTTTGCTGTCCGAGACGCGTTTCACCTTGTCAAAAAGGCTTTTTCAATCGGAATCCTCTTCTGTGCGCAATCTGACGATTTATATCTGACGGTTTCTTTTTGATAGGTCCTCTTGCTCCTTCATTATCCAATCCGTTGGCTCGTATAGAGGGGTGTATGTTAGACTAGCTGTTGGTAGTTAACTCCGCATATACGGAAGTGACGTATCGGGGAATCCATGACGTCACTTCCGGTTTTACGTTATCATCATTTTTTGTATTGGCATCTGCCCCATTGCTCTGTACATCGATGTAACTCGGGCGGATTGTTCACAGTGTTCAATAAGGTGCAATTGAAAAAGAACATTAAGGAAACAGTATCAATAGACCCATTTGAGAAAATAAAAGAGACAGTATTTATAAATTTTTTTAAATATTACAGAGTAAATTGTGCTTCATTATGTATACAATCCAAAATGTAATTTTGTTAGTAAAGAAGAATTCTCATTGTTATTGTAATCTTTAGTGTGAATTTAAAACATCCTATATATTCATACTTTGCAATCCAAGGTGCTAAAATAAATACCAACTATCCAAAAGGATACTATAGATATTAAATATATGTATAAAAAGTCAATAAAAAATAATAAAAATCTAAAAATAATTTTATAAAAAATGACAAAGTTTGAAATCATTATTTAAACCACTTGGGTGTAAAGTGTCCAAATTGAATATCCAAAGCATCTCTGATTGTCCCATCCTTTTAATTAGATTATCACACCTCCAATTTATTGTCACTTTTTGAATTCCCAGAAATTGCAGTTTTCCAGGATCACTATTATGTAAATTTTTAAAATTGAGAAATACATTATGTTTTGGGAAACCATTCCTTACATTCCTAATATGTTCCTGTATTATTACTTGTAAAGGGCGGATGGTTTACAGAAATAATGTTTACCCTTTTGATTATTCTTACCTATCTTTGTCATTAATATTTTTCATTTTCTTAGGACAATTCATCTACTTCAGTTCGAGTTTGGTGGAAGACAACATGCTCTCATCTTCGTGGCTGGAATCCTCTTTCAGTGTGAAACCTTCAGAAACTAATGCTGGTTGCCAGGTATTCATTTATAACTAAGAATTAATCAGCTTCTCCATAAATAATACATTTCCATATTGAAACAAGGTCCAGTTTTTTTTCTTCCTACCTAATATGCCAAAATCTCCTATACTTTCACAATTTTAATTTTCCACTTTCTATTGACGCTTCATTGATTTTGGATTCCAAACTGATTTAACACCAGTCAGTCTAACATAAGGAATATGTTTGTTCAAGTGCATATGATTTACTAGGCAAATAATTAAGAGGCTATTTGTACAGAATTACAAGTTTTAAGGAAAACTGTCACTTCAATTTTTTTTTAACATAATAAACCTTTCATAAAATTTTGAAAGGAAAACTTTTTTTTTTTTTTTTAAATCAAGTAGTGTAGTTTTGTGGTTACACTTGTCCTTTAAGATGAAAAACTGTAATAATCAGAAAATTATTAAAATTATTATTTTTAATATATGAACAACCACAAGTGAATGTAGAAAAGTCTGAAATAAAAAAAAAATATATAATGATGCTCTGCCTAACCTATGATTACTATAATTTTGTAAGTGGACAAAATTCTGGAATGAAAGAAGTAAAAACAATGACATTTGTGCATTTAAAAACATCAGTGGTGAGTTAGCAGGTGAAAGTTGAACATTAATAAATATGCATATATATATTTCTAATGTAGCATGATTAAATCTGAAACAAGCCCAATTTTATACTGTCATATATGAATTAATTTCCTTACATACTGAGAATTCTTAAGTGACATACATTTTTATATAGTTCAATAAAATAAGAAAACAGCAATCTACTTTATTTTCACGTCCTTATGCAGCTCTGATCGGTATGGTTAGCATAGCTTAAAGGGACACTATAGTCACCAGAACAACTACAGCTTATTGTATTTGTTCAGGTTAGTAGAATAATTCCTTTAAGGCTTTTTGCAGTAAACACTATGCTTTCAGAGAAAATGCAATGTTTGCATTAAAGCCTAGGGATACCTTCAATGGCCACACCTCATATGGCTGCTGGAGGTGCTTCCTGGGGCAGTGCTGCACAATTTGACTGACATTCCCACCCTCTGCATGGAGACACTGAACTTTCCTCATAGAGATGCACTGATTCAATACATCTCTAAGAGGAGATGCTGATTGGCCAGGGCTGTGTTTGGCTTGTGCTGACTTGACAGTCTCAGCCAGTCCAATGCTTTCCTATGTGAAAGCATTGTGATTGTCTCAGAACGCCACTTTGATGATGCCAGCCATGCATGCTGGAATAAAAGTGATATTTTGGTATATTTAGGGGCACAAGTGAGGGCCAGTGGGGACTAGATAGTGGTTTTTGTGTTCCTGACTCTATAGTGTTCCTTTAAAGCCCATTGCCAAGTCTGTCTCAACACCTAATTTGTCTGCTTTCACAATGATGGACTCAGAAAAGATAACCACTGCACTTTAACTTAGTAAGCCTTTATTTGGTTTTACCTCAGTGTTTCACAAATTTACCTTGTCATGAATCGAAGTTGCGTGATATGCAGCCACAGATGCCACTACATATTTTTATTAAAAACAAACAATGTCTAAAAAAAAAACAAAACACAAGGTCATGCACTCATTATAACTTTCAACAAAGCAATATGGTTTAATGTACAGAAATAAACAAAAATAAAGGATTTGTTTCATGTATGATAACACATGAACAGGGCACGGTCTCATATTTGGGAATGTTACAGATTTTGTGGGCCTTATATTATGTTTTCCATCTTCCTATATAATAAAGTTGATATCTGGCAGAAAGAGGTGGCCCCAATAAAAACATTGAATGGATCAAGCTGGAAATATGGGGAAGCCAAATGTAAAAGACAGGAGACTCAGTAGTTTGGAAACTAAGTATCACCACCCTTTCTCACCTCAATGGGAGTCTTGCAAGGGTAATAATTACTGTTTCACAGCACAAGATGCACTGTTTATAGTTGCTTTATTTGAAATGAGATATGCATGGGCCTATATACAACCTGTTACAGATGTTATCAAATGATAACAAGCAACAGCCTATACTGGGTTTAATTGGTACATGACTGTTTGTAAGAACAAAAAAAAAAATGTTTTTATACATTGTAACATGTTACAATCCATACTTACAATGTAAAAAAAAAAACGATTGGCCTTGATGTAAATCGTGATGCACTTTACAAGCAAGTGATTAAATAGTAACTACAATGTATCCCGCAGTGGCAAAATTATTCAGAGAAATCATTTATTTAGATTTGGAAAAAATAAAGAAAACAAATTCAGGTGAATGCCAGATCCTATTTACTATTTTACGTACAATAGTTCTTCAGTGTTTTTAGTTGTGTGCGGAATGGTTGCTCATGGTGTGAAAACAAACATAATCCGCTGGCCTTGAATCTCTACTGAAAATATTAGTAGGGGAGAATTTAATGGAACCAAGCAATTTTAATAATCAGTAGGGGTTTCCTTTTTTTCCCCCAAGAAATCTGTGATTGTTGAGTGAATATTGTAAATTATTCATTTTGGAATAAAGAGGTTATATGTTGTCAGAGTATTCAGAGGCAAAGCCAAGTCTTCCCTGTGTATATCCTCGTGCCTGCTGTTTGTTTTTCTAATTACAGTAAGGACAAGAACTGCACAAGAAAATATATTTTGATGAATGTAGACACGTTCTTTAATATATTTTCTACAGCGATGTAGGGCCTCCCTACATCTGCCATTCACAGTTACCAAACAATAACTTTTAAAACCCTCAGAAATGTATTATTCTACAGTAATAATAGCACCAGTCCTATAACTCTGGGTGATGATCTCCAATTATCAAACTGGCAATGACAATCGTTAAACAAACAGCAGCATTACATTTAATTTGTTTAAAATGAAATGTTATAGCATTAAATAAAATGTGTCTATTGGAAAAACAAACACCTCTTAATGGACTGGGTATCTGTATTCCTAATGTTACAATCCTGATGGCCCTAAATAGTTTACGCCCATTCATTTAAAAAAAAAAAAAATAGGAATACGTATAAAAGAAACACTCATCTGTCCTCCAGTGCTGAGTCCTCCTCGGCATTGCCGCATCCTGGAGACGGGCCTCCGGGATTATGGGCCAATCCAATGCTTCTCCTGCAGGAGCATTGTGAAGTTCAATGCAACTACAATTCCTCCATAGAGAATGATTGTATTCAATGATTCTCTATGGGGGATGGTGACTGCACTGTGCACGTGTGCATCGTATGATAATTGGGAAGTAAGATTCCAAGCTCTCATACCCAGAAGGCTTGGAGGTGTGACTTGAAGCTGGGCTTTCGAGCCTTCTATTTAGTTTAATATTTGGTTTTGGAGTGTAGTCAGGGGGGCAGACTGCAGGCAGTTTAACATCTGCAATACGATGAAGTTGTTAAAGTGCTTATAATGTCGCTTTAAAGTAAAGGGATTTAGCTGACAAATAGCTTAATAGAATTAAGAATTAGATCTTAATAGCAGACATCCACAATCAAAGTCATCCAAAAGCTTGTTGATGGAGTTGTCGAAGGTCTCAAAGCAGGTCAGTCAATTAGTATATTGAGAAAGCATACAAATACAAATCTCTATTTGTGCATCAGCATTTTCATAATTGAACATAAAGAAAGGCTTTTTCAAAATCCCAAATCATCTAGTATGTCAATGCATTCTGCTGCATTAATATGTCAATTTGATGGAACTAGGAGCCTAGTCTAAATCATGGTCAATACACCAAAACCATTATTAATCCTTAGCAAGCTTTAGAATTGGCACTGTGGGAACATGTAGTATTTTGCATGGATCCATCAAAACTCAGGCTCATCCAGATATTGCAAAATAGTAAAGAGAGACTTCTTTACAGAGACCATCATTTCACTGCTACAAATTCCAAAGGCAGTGAGCGATACATTTTTATAGAAGATGATTTTAGCTTTTTGTGTGGCTGTTTGGATGTACCAGCTAATCATGGAGCTCCCAGTAAAGAGTTATTAAGCTGACAGTGCTTCTTCTGTCCTTTTGGAACTCAGTGGACTGCATTGCCTACAAAGATCAATGACTTTCATGTTGTAAGTATGTTAGCAATGATGACAGAACTGTTCCGTTATCTCACCTGGCATACTACTTTGTAGGTTAGCTGCTGTTGGCCTTGAATGATTTTTTTTCACAATAATAACGCTTCCAACTAAATGGGGCAGCTCTTGCAATGTACACATTTAATTATTTGACTCATTGGGGATATCCCATCCTAAGGTGTCACATTGAAAAGTAATTTATCAACACAACATCATAGCATTGTTGATGTGTGCTTATGGCAAGTGTGAACCTGATTGTTTCTGTCTACCTGCAATAGGTGTTACTGTTCTAGTCAGTTTCTGTAGTGGAATTTGGTGTCTTCTTACTTTTAGACTTATGAGCCCAGGTTCTCTTAGCAGAGTACTTGTTTAGTCTTCTTTCTGAATCCCAATATCCTCATAGTCTTCAGTGGAGGAATTATAAGCAAAGAGACCAAGAGAACCCAGCCCATAGTGCATATCACCAAGCTTCACAGATGAACATATCATGAAACCCATAAAACATTTGGATATAAAACCCCCCAATAATGCAGCAATTTTAAGTAAAATATACTGCTCCCAATGGACATTGTGGTCATTTAATATATTTCCAAAAGTATCCTTCAGAGCAGAGTTGGCCAAAATGTGCATTTACCATCGTACTACAGTTTGAGGACTGAATGGATGATTGTCATTAAATGAAAACATAAAAATGGAATTATGGTATAGGAACATTTATTTCTAAATCCACCTCTGATCCAAGTTTTAAGTGGAGAAATGTAAGTTTTTTTTAAAGTTATAGAAGATAAAGACATAAGCGGTTACTTAGCTCCTTAACACAAAGCTTACTGCTTTGCCATCTCTGAATGTCCACTGGTAGGACATACAAAAGAAGTCGATGGTAAACTTTAATGTTCAGGAGTTTCTAGAAATGTAGTGTTAACGTCTTACATTATTCCTTTTTCTTTTCAGTACGTTATTCAGTTCACAGAGTGAAAAGCAGGAATTGGAATCTAAATGTTGTGAGAGCTAAGGGTGGTTAGTTCGCAATATCTGAAGAAAGATTGCTGGAGCAGATTTGTTTTGAATTTAAATTGAAAGGACAAGACAAAACAATGTCAAACTGACCAAGGTCAGAAAACAGAACAGATAGAAAGCAAGAAAATAATAGATACCAAGTGACAATTAAAAATCAAGGTGAGGGAAGGTTGAGAACATGGAAGGTTATATACTGAAGGTAATAACAGAAGTATAGAATTGAAGGAATCATAGGAATGAAGAATATGGTTAATTTTTTTATCTCATCTATGGAAAAAAGGAAGCAATGAAACTATGTAGGAAGTCAGCTTGATTTTGAGCTGAGTCGAACTGTAAAGCAATAGCAAGGAAACTACATTTATACGTAAGGCTCTGTTCAGATCTCATACAGTCATTGACACCTGTACCTTGTCTTCAGGGATATGAAATGCCTTTATAGTTACTTTTGTCTAGGAATCAAAGAAGAGTGTTTAACACAGTGAGAAAAGTAATCCCTCTCAACGATAGCTGAAAACCCTTGGTGCATTTTTATTTGAAGTGCAGATAAGACAAGAAATGTAAAAACATGCACAAAACTTTAAAATAATGTCCTAAAGAGGACATAAACAATAGCTACTAAGTTGCATGTTAGATGTCATTAGCATTAGTCTTTCCCTGATTTTAACATAATGTAATTTGTACAACGAAACTTAAAATAATCTGTGTTTGTATAAAATAAAATGAAGATATGGTGATTGGACACTGTAAGATTGAACAAACCTATTATTTTTTAATCTATTATATAAATATTATATTATCATACAAATATGATAGTGTTACACACTAGCCCTAAATTACAAATCTTTGAGTCAATAAGTTTTTTAATTGAAAGAGTGCAGAGACTCAGCTACCCATACGGTGATCTATCCTAAATATATAATCTGTCTGTCTGTCTGTCTGTCTGTCTGTCTGTCGAGAGAGAGAGAGACTGGGTGTAGAGGGAGACAGCAGTGCAATAGAGATAAGTGTCTTCTTGTCCCACAGAGTACTCCATATATATAACTAATCAGTGTCTGGTTTCTGTACAATATTTGTACATGACTTTAAATACATTCTGACAATGAGCGACTAATTATTAAATAAAACTTTAGTATGAAAAACAATATTTTTTAATAATAATCAAGCTCGTTATTTATGCAATATCACTCCCCAGAATATTAAAACACATACAGAACATCGATGCTTAATTAAAGGTCATCTGGAAATTTAATTATAAAAACAAATACAATTTGTGTTCACTTCTGCTATAAAATTTTACTTTCCTTTTCAGTTGCATCAATCTCTATGCGCTTATTCTCTTCACAACTTTATTAATATTCTCCTGCATAGCTTGTAAAGTGCATATGAAGCTTCTATTTCAGCATAATTAGACATGCTCTTTCCGATCTCACCTTGCAAGCCATAACATTTACCTTAAGTAGCTGGGAAGTCAACTGTTCTTTAACTTATTCGAAACAAACACAAAAGGACATAGAGGGTGAATTAATAAAAAATAAAATCTATATTCACAAGATTTCTGCAGCCTTTTGCAATACAATTCATATTAATATTAATAGGCAATATACAGCAGAATGGCATCTTGTTAAAAAGACTTTTTCAAGACATGACTGATTTGACTGGTAGATGAGCTGTCACTGCCTTAGCATTACATAACTGATTAGTATTCTGTAACCACCTTCCACATAAAAAGTGTCTGTTGATGGTTGTAACATTGTCTTATTGCAAGTACTTGCCACAAATTTTCTCTGAAGTTCTCTAAGTGAAATTTCTAACAGAAATTGTACGCTTGCAGGAAGACACTAATATGACATTTGACCACATGAAAGATGCAAAGTAGTAATTTTGCACGCCAGGGGTATCAAAGCTTTCATTTAATCTACTCGTAGTTGAAAGCTTTATTTGTGTATACAAGTTTGGAAGTAAATATATTTCAAACCATAATATGAAAACAATTCTAAAATTGCCTGGATTGGAGATTGTATCTAAATCATCTATTTGAGCCTCAATTTAGGTTCTCGTTTCACAGAATCTTTCTGTTTACTGGATTAAGACGATTGTTTCACATTCTGTGCAGGTGATTTAATGCCAATGGACACCATGCCAGATAGTTATACTAAGGAAAAAATTCCAAGTCATCTATGCGGGACATTGGACAATTTAAGTTGGGTTTGGTTTCAACAATAGCTGATTTGTTATTACAATTATATAAAATACCAGATTGAAATGGACTCTTGAAACTGAGCTTGCCAGCTGTTGAAAATTTGATGTTTCAAACCAGACAAAAAGGAACAATGAAGTAGTTAAACATATAGTTGTCCTAGGAAGTCCCAATATTAAGTCCCATCTGTGACCATAAAGGGATGCCTAAGCTCAGCAACAATATTTATGTAGGATGTAGCACTTAGATGATGCTCAGTTGGTATTTAGGAGCCTAATTCATGCCAAGAAAATATTCCTCACATCTTTTCACCACTAAGGCAAGCCTAAATCGTCAACACAAGGCATGATGCAATAATGGATTCAAATTTGTCTCCAAAATTTTAACCTGCAAACTGCACGATGCAACAGAAATCAAGATTCATCAGGCAAAATGTTTTTAATTTTCTACTGTCCAGTTTTGGTGTGTCTGTGCCCACTGTTGCCTAAGCTACATGTTCTTTGCTGGCTGGAAAAGCTGTGGTGTTCTTCTGCTGCTGTAGCCCACGCATTTTGTTGCTGCCACATGATCGTCTTATAGTAGATATTTAGTAGAATGTAAAGATAAGCATTAAAAGGGAGGTATTTAAATGTTTCCAGTAACGTGGCCACTGAATATGTATTCCAGTACAAAGTAAACTCATGGTGTAGAAAAGATTGCAAGAATAAAAATGTAGTGCAATATCATTTGAATTCTTCAATTGCTATTTTTAGAATACAACCATAAACAAAAAATGTAATTTTTACAAATAGTTAACATTCTTAATATGCAATTGTTACTGTTATAACAATTGTCACTTTTTATCTTCTTACAGATCCGGCTTTGGTACCAAATAAGGGGAACAGCCAAATTATCCGTTTTTACGAAATATGTTGAAAATGAAGGTTCACAAATGCAGCTTGTAAAGCAAATTACGGGGCCATCTAGTAACCAGTGGGAAAAGGCGACCATTGATTTCATCACTGATTCCAAAAGCATGAAGGTAAGAATGTATGCAAAATAAATATTTTTTCTCATTATACATCAATCTTAGATTCCTAAGATCCAATAACTCCCCCCTCCCCCAGCCTCCCTATGTATATGCAGAATAGTTTATTGATCATTTTTCTTTTGAGGAGGGGAGTAAAACATTTGTTGCAAAACAAACATTTTACATAAACCAATCATACACTGTCACTCATTTAAACCAACTATAATATGTATGGTTTTTAGTAGTTTTGTAATTTTTTTTGTAGTTTTGTAATTTCTTTTCTCAGGACAGACACACACACACACACACATACACACACACACACACCCTTTAGACCCTACTATAACAGGAGCTTTGCTGCTCACGCATTAATCCCTTCCATTGAGTCATGTTAAAGGAATGTTAAATGGTCTATTCTATAATGACAACTTACATTTGCCAGATATTTTCCCAATATATTTCATTAAAAATCATGGAATTAAATCAGACAATTTTTGACATATTTTGCATTAAAAACATCCTTCTTGACACTTTGAGCCAAAATGACATCACACTAAAGTTAAGTAATGATTTTATAGACAGTTTCCATAGCTTATTTGGTACAGTTTAACCTATTAAATTAATACATATCATGTATGGTGTCAAACCTCTTTTTTAAAATAGTTTTTCCCCCTAGACAGAACACATTAAGAAATTAGAAATATTTCTTATGGCAAAAGCAATGTCTAGAATAATTAACAGTATAAACCAAAAAAGGGCAACATTTTTTGAAAGACATACTCCATTACGGTGCCTAGAGAGATATCAGCTATGCCTCACTGATGATGCCTAACAAGACTGAAATGATTGTCTGGGGTTGCTGTATCTCTCGTGCAGAGGGAACTTGCTGGCATTTCGGATCTGGACTGCCCATATAGGTGGGACCAGTCTGATATGTTTCAGAGATGTTCTCTCTGTAGTGGCACAAGATGAGCTAAAACTAGCTTGAGAACTAAGCGGGGACCCAACAAAGGGCAGGCTATTTCAGCTGCTGCCTGTTCTCAGTATTCTCTTGCGCCCTGTTTTTTGCTCTACATACTCCATTATACTTAGATATAAGAATTCTTCTTCTGTTCACACACTTTATATTGCCTTTCTGCTGTGTTATAAATTATTGCACGATTAACTTAGTTTAGGCTCTCAACTTCCGTAGAAATGAAATTCAATGTGACTTCAAAGTATATAGGAACATTTTAAATAGGATTTTCTTAATGACAGTTCAAAGAGAATATATCACTAATTAAGTGATATAAAACATGTTTTATGATGTCTTTCATGTTGGATAAAATGGATTGCCACTCGGTAATGGAATTCTGGGTATTCAAAACATTCTGATTAATATTTTGTATACTTTTAATTCCAGGATAGAATTAAAAAGGGGCACACATTTAAAGTATCATCGTTTTGATAATGGAACCAACAGTACATGCTAAAGATTGTTTTCAGACCCAGTTAGAAAAGGATTAAAAAATCTGGGTGATCTTGTAAAAAGGAATCATTTATAGACAGCTTTAACTCATTTATATATGTAATATTTGGGCATTGTTACCTCCTCTCTTCAACTGGCAAGCCTCCAGACCATCAATGATATAGTCAAATTTAGCAGCTTCAAACTTTAACAATATAATGACAATTATATTTTAGAGTTATGCAAATATAAATTCCAAAATTCCTAAACATTGTTTCAATCAAAATTCTTGATATTATATAAAAAACAAGTATAAACATTGGATAGATACATAACTACCCAACAAAACAAAGATAATATAAATAGGATATAGTACAATATAAGTAAGCAAAATATATAAAAAAATATCTTTATTTTTAAATAACAGACAAAATTTGTGACTTGTAATACCTTTTTTATTGGATTAGCAGAATTGTGTCATGACAAGCTTTCGGGATAACCTCCCTTTCTCAAGTCTAAAGCATTTCTGGGCAAAGATGAGACACATAGAATTCAAAGTCAAGTTGTGATATACAAGATATCTTCACACAAGATATTTACGACCCTCTGCAAGAATGGTGTCTATTTTCCATTAAACTTGTGTCTTATCTGCAGTCATATTGCTTTAACTCCTGTATCGCAACTCAACTTTGAATTCTATGTGTTGTCTTTGCTCAGAAATGCCTTAGTCTAGAAAAAGCGAGGTTCTCCCGAAAGCTTTTCATTGCAAAATTCTGTTAGTCCAATAAAAAAGGTATTACAAGATACAAATTTCATCTGTTATTTTACATCTACATCACTGGACTAATACAGCTACAATCTATATTTTTAGCCACATTTTTAAACTTTGAATTTAATTGAGTAATGTAAAATATTATGTCAATTATCACTTCGGATTTCAGACAGTAATGTCTTGCTAAAAAAAACTATTGTTATTCTTAGCATGGACATACAAATATGCCATATTCATGCCTGACAATAATATTACTTTTTGTATGAATATGAGTTATTAAGATTAATACATACATGTGTTGTAAGTAATGTATTCAATATTTCTTTTAGAATAAGAGACTATGCTGGATGATAATATTGATGTCAGATGTCATACTAATGACATTTTATCAGCACAATGCACTTTTCCGACTCAAAATATTCTAATATGATCTGTGTTTTTAAAGGTTTCTTTGTATTTCATTTAATGTTAAGAAACATATTATCTTTTTTGTACCTTTTTCTTTTACAACATTTATCAACATTTAGTTGATAAAAATAAAACGCCACAAGGGATTAACTATATAACTGCGTAAAATCTACACTATTCAAGCACTATAATACTCTGCAGTATCACAATTCTGTATATTTGAATCCACATGTTGATGTTTCTAGATAAATAAAAGTGTTTATGTAATATTTAAATGGCTGTAATGTCTGAATATTTCCCCACTTGATTAATCCTGCTCTTAAAATCAGGTGTTTTTCATCTTTTTGTTAACTACATTTTTATGAAAGTGTATTTCTAAGATGATTAAAACACTTGGCCTGTTTGTAAACAGTTGTAGTTGCCTAAATAGTGACTTGAGCAGAACCTAGAATGTTTGGTATTAGACTCATGCATTCATTTTCATCCGAGTTGCAATTCATCCAATCATCGGATCATCCGAATTCTGTAACTACTCTTACATCTGACGGCTTATCAGGTATAAGGTAATGTTGTATAGGGCCAGGAGATGGCCAGTATAGCTTAAAGGGTCGGACAGTACCCAAACCTCTGGCCCTGTATTTGCAAAAACATATGCACAATACTGAGCCAACCTTGCATTAAGCAAAGCACTGGGAATAATTATTTTTCAGGCTGAACAATCACAGTGCTCTTACTGAATATCCAAGGTAGGAGAGGCCTTATAAGAATGTAATGTTTGCATCATTAACTGTGTAATAATGCAACTTTGTTATGATCCTTAGAACCACTATTTAAGATAGAATGTTTAAATATAAGTTATGTTTTAAGCTAGCAGATGCATACTATAAGTAGCTGTAGAAAAACAGAACAAACGAAACAGAGTCCGCGGGGAGAGACACACCCAGGAGTTAGTGTCTCTATCCACAGGATCTGCTCACCAGTGAAGCCCTCCAGGGGTGCCTCAGGGCTTAACCCTTTAGTATCTTAAATGCAAAAAGAAAATTTGCACACCACTCACACGCTGTGAGGGGATGCTGCCTGGAAAATAGAAACTGTAACTTATTGAGAATAACACTTTAATCTATGAAAAGGATACACACTTGGGACATAGTTACAAGCTTTAAAAGGCTTCTCCTATGCCTTAATCTAATATGGGTTAGATGGAGGGCAGAGACGAAAGGGTAGGCATAAAAATGACATATCATTAAATTAATATACAAGTGTGTATCTATAGACTTTTTTTTACAACAGGCTAATTACCACACTATAAAAAATAAATCTCACCCTGAGAAATACTATGAAGTGATGGGAGAGAGGATAAAAACAAAACGTCATCAAGTCCTGAAAAGGTTAAATAGCTTAGAGAAGTATAAACAGGAAAATTCAAAGTATATAGACAAAGCCACAGTCCCTTAAAATCGAACTAGACAGGCGTAGGAGGAAAAAGGAAGAAAAAGAGAAAAAAATTAAGTCTCTAAAATCATAATTCCAGCGGATTTAGTCATACAATTCCTTCAATTCACAAAGTGTAACATAGTGAGGTGAAGTGCCTGAAAAATAAAATAAAAGCAACCACCCCATAGGAAAAAACAACCCGACGTGTGTTTCGGTGTGAACACACGTGCACCTTCGTCAGGGACAAACAGTGAACTGGAAATAGTCTCCTCTATATAGGCATGTCCCAGATGGGAGCAATCAATCAGGACAGAAGTGATACATATCACTCAGATTGTAGCCATGGGAAAGTCCACGTCATCCTGGTGAGTAACACCCACAGGCTTGTAATCCATTCAGAAGTCGGAAAGGGTATCAAGAAAAATCATGAATGAATTAGATCGTAGTTATATGTTGGAGTGAATTACCCAAAAAGTCCCACAATCTATATAAAACCACGTACATCCCCCTATGGTATGTTCAATTTATCTAGATTTGTAATAGAGAGGGGTGATGAAACCCCAAGGTGTCGAATATTACAGAAGTGATATAATGTGTAAAGTCTCTAAACTAGATCATGCAGCACTCATAACTAAGATCTCGTTGAAGAATAATACATACACCAAATTAATATAAAATTAACGGATAATTAATAAGTACAGATAGCAACGTCCCGTGAGGATAAGACAAACGTCTGGGTAAATTATAAATAGGAATTAGCGATGACCCGATCTGGGTCACATGAAATATGTAGGGGATACTTAATCCCGATCCCTTAGATAAGTACCAATGACGAGCAAATCAATAAATAAATGGGAAACTAGAGGGTAGGTAAGTCCAAACTTCCCTTCACTGTGTATATAAACGTCCCTATGTTCAGCCGCTAGCGGAGGTAATAGTCATTAAACCGGCGCAGTCCCCAAAGTACAAAGAAGCTAATCGGCTCCTTTTGGGGGCGTGTCTTACCACGTTATGCAATGAAAGACCTTATGATTGTAGTGTATGTGAGATTCTCAAGAAAAATCAACACTGCGCAAAACTGTAACTGAATGTGATATGAACTATCCAAAGCAAAAGAATAAATAAATAAACGTGCCCGGACTACCACCACAACCACTTACACATCTAAAGGGCTCACCATTTGCATTCATTTGGGTCATGTTGCTGAAGGGTTTGAGTTTCAATTCATTATTAGCGATTTTAGCTATTGCATGTGGTGTAAACTTGCTTTTTTTCCTTAAGTTTACATTAAGTGCATAAAAAGTGTCTACCTTTACTGGCTTTGGATACATAGTTAAACTATGGGCATGGCTCTTCGGGTAAAATACAAAGGATGCTTTATACACAAGTAAATAGCCTCTACATAACTATCTGCATGTCCAGAGCTGGATATAGAAGGGGTATTTCTGGATATCTTTTTGCCTATAGAATTGTATATGTTTAGCTAGCACAATACACAAGTGAAATAATTAGAAGAATGACACTGGACTCCATAATATTATGCATGACAAACTCCCATGAATAGTGACTGATGATACTTACATTGTCATCATTATTTTAAACGATGCACTATTTTTATGAAATTTCAGATCATTTTGGAAGCCTCCATATTTTCTTCTAATTCCACTGTCGCCATTGATGACATAAGTTTATCTCCAGAATGCCTTCTCTCAAATATCTCAAATTCAGGTAAAATACTGAAATGATATACTTATGGACACATACAGCAAACAATAGTCACTAAATTCCTGTATCAATCAGACACTTGTAAAGATATATAAATCGTGACTGAATTGTGCAAAAATAGACTATATTATTAATTTTGTAATTATCCCTTATCAGAAGGAACCTACTTGTTTTTCAATAAATATTAATTGTATCTGGAATATGTAATTAAAAAAGAAAAGAAAAAAAAGTGTATTTTAAAGTAGCACTCTAAGCACCAATACAATTTCCCTTAGTGAAACAGTTTTAGTATATAAATGATGTTGTTAAAGTTTCATAGCTCAATTCTCTACCATTTAGTAATTAAACCACTTTTATTTCTGTTTATTCAGCCATAGCCACACTTCCCCTGAAAGTGTTCACACAGCCTGCATGTTAATATTGGTTTCATTTTCAATCAGATCTGAAAACACAGTGTGTTAACTTTATACATTTGTATCTCTGTTAATTGAAATTTAGTCAGAAGCATAAGACGGCATCATGTCGGCTCTTGCAGGCTCTTAGCCATGCAGGAGATAAAAAATACTCTAAATTAAACAGACTGTGAGATAAAGGAATTTTAGACATTAAATCTCTGTTTACAGGATATGCTTAAGGAGAAAGTGTAGGTCACATGGAGGGAGGTGTGAGTAGGGCTGCATAAAGAAAGGGATTTAACTCCTAAATGGCAGAGAATTGAGCAATCACAGAGCAGAGGCAGGATATATGCTCTAAAACCACTCGCTTAGTTTAAAGTTGTTTTGGTGCTTAGAGTGTCCCTTTAAATAGTTTTGGAGTCTATGGTTCAAACTACATTTTCTGGAGAGCTGAATTCAGTCCACATCAGCACTTAGCTCTCTGTCCAATAATGGAACACTATGAGTAGAGCCTGGAAGATTGACGGACTGTTGCCACAGTCATATCTTTATGTCAGTTTTACATATACATTTTACTAAAACCTAAATTAATATTAGGTCATTTTCTTGTTCTTTAGTACAGCAGCATATCTAATAATATTTTTTGTGGGCACTGTAAGTTGGACAGCACATTTTCGAGTGGAATTATGGTTACAGAAAATGTTAGTTGTAATGTTAAATGAATACTTGGTTGGTATATAATATTACGGAAAGACTAGTACAACTATACTCTACTAATAATGACATAATATCTTGTCTGAATTATCACTGCTTAACCACATACAGGAGGAAAACATAAACATGAGTAATAATTCTATGTATTTAGTTATACTATTTTTGAACAGCCTATTGCTTATCAGTATATTTAATTTTAGGACATATAAGTTATTGGTCACTTAATATACTGCTATATAAAAGTTAATGTTTAGTTAAAATCCAGGCATTTACTGCAGTTCCTAAAACATAGTCTATGCTCTCTATTATTTGAGAGATGTAATCTTTGTTTACTGAACTATTAACTTGCAAAAATATATTTAGAAAAAGTGGAAACAATGAGAAATGAATGGAAACATTTCCTGCAGTTTGAAGATCTATCTACCTATCGATCTATCTATCTATCTATCTATCTATCTATCATTACAATCTCAGATTTATTTTGTAAAACATAAAATAAAGTTATATCGTAATGAAAATATTCCAATTCAAGTTTTCTGCAATTTTCCTCTCGTGATCGTTGAATATTTCATCTAGTTTTTTATTAATTCTTCTCACCATTGTTCATTGCGATAAAGTCGAATCTACAATGAATCGGAAGAGGCCAGATGCCATTGCAGACAACACGGGACTTCTTGAAATCAGAAATATCATAAAAAGGACGGGATACAACTCTCTAATTCTTGGTCTGTGTATTCACACGATGCTAGCAAGTGTGGTGGGGTTTGATGGTGACTTCATGTTTTGGAAATGTTTCAATTTACAACATGACTTTTAGTACAATGTTATGGAATAGTTATGCAGATATGTCTATGATTTACCCAACAGATGAATCAAAGGACAATTTATCTTTCTATTGCCCAAAGGGGTATTTTTCTTGTGGAGATGGAAACTGTTTGCTGTGGAACAAAGTTTGTGACTTCACTCCTGATTGTTCAAATGATGCTGATGAATTATCATGCTGTAAGTTACAGTATACCTTTAATGACGTTTTCACGTTAGAAATCATTACTGTATGCTGAACAGAATATTAGCTTTTGCAGAGAGATTAAAAAAGGATCTGTCTTAGCAGAGAGATTCAAGGGGATCTCTTTTGCCGAGAGATTAAAGAGGATCTGTCTACACAGCAGTTAATTTGTCCAGAGTTATTTTCTACAGTAGGATTTTTTTTTTTTTTTTATTCAAAGTGAATGCAAAGTAAATAACAAATTTCAAGAAAAATGAAAATCATAACTAAAATAATTACTGAACTGGCATGGATATTTTTTCCAGTTTAGCAATATTTGTCTAAAATTTGAATTTCACTTTTAATTAGCTTTAAAAGTCCTAATAATTCACAGTATGGTAACTATGTAAATTTGAGCTATATCTGGATTTAAATAAAATACAAGGCTGTGTTGACACAGTCTGACAGTAAAATGGACACTATAGTCACCAGAACAACTACAGCTTAATGGGAAAGCATTGGATTGGCTAAAAATCACAAATTATGATGATGCCACCAAGGAGGTGGATCGAGGGCAGCACAATAAGGGGAAATAAGGTGAGTTTTAACCCCTTCTAAGGAGACTAAGAGGGGACAAGCCACCTAAATGTTGGTTTTAACACTATAGGGTCAGGAATACATGTTTGCGTTCCTGACCCTATAGTATTATTTTAATGGATGTCCAGTTAAAGGGCTATTCGCATGTATGTAATGATCAAGGAGTTTATAGCTGTATCAATGCTGTATCAATGGGATTTTCTACCTTATTTGAAAAAAGTTATGGGATTTGTTATCTGTTATCTGTTAGGAATTGTAAATACTTTCCTGCAAAAGTAAAATTTGCCAAAGGTGGAATTTTAATAACTTATTTACTGTATTTACACACTTTTCAGCTGCTAAATGTGACTTTGAAAATCATATGTGTGGTTGGTACGAAAGGTTTTATGACAACTCGTTTGATTGGATAAGAGGGTCAAGTAGCAATCTGTCACCTGACTATCAGAAACAAGCTCCACCACAGGATCACACCATGAATAAAACAGAGGGTAAAATACAATCATGAAAAGTGTACGCAGCATGTCCAAATTACTTACATCTTTATCTGAATAGCACAAGTAATACAGAATTGTATGGTGTCATGTGTTTTATTTTGTATAGCAAAACATACACTGATCAGCCACAATATTAAAACAACCTGCCTAACATCATGTAGGTTCCCCTCATGCCTTAAAACAGTTCTGACACGTTGAGGCATGGACTCTACAAAACCTCCTTTAAGTCCTGCTAGTTGTTAGGTGGGACCTCCATGGATCAGGTTGGTTGTTCCAACACAAAAAAACAAAATTAGTAGGTGCACAAACAATGTTGGAGATAGCAGTGTAAAAGAAGTGACAATCAGAACGTAAAATATGCAAATTGCAAACCAAAAAGAGCTCAATATACGTGAGGAAGAAATTTGTACAACCAGAATAAAAATCACACTGTGATAGAGTGGAAGAAATGATGTGACAAACAAATGTATACTTGCACTCTTCCTTACTAGCAGGTCTCACTGATCTAAAATATATAAAAATAAAACACAGACCTAGTGCAACATTGTCAAAATATAATCTGTTATGTGGAACTCTGTAAGAAATTAACTCACAATTATGGAGTGGTTATAGTACCACTCCAAACTATCAGGCACAGGGAGGATCAGACCCTTGTGAACGTTGGATCCAGACGTGGGTAATCACACAAACTCACCATCAGCCGAAGACGTGAAGTAAAATACTTTATTTACACAAAAAACACATGTTAAAGTAAAAAGGATAGTTCTCACTGTACTGGAGCAGATCAAAGTCCTGGGAATTAGTAGATTAACAGACCGAGTTTCGTCTTTCTCCAAGATGCTTAATTGTATTGAGATCTAGGGAATTTTGAGGCTAAGGCAACAACTTGAACTCTTTGTCATGTTCCTTAAACCATTCCTGAACAATTTTTGCAGTGTGGCAAGATGCATTATCCTGCTGAAAGAGGCCACTGACATCAGGGAACATCATTGGCATGAAGGGGTATACGTGGCCTGCAACAATCTGTAGATAGGTGGTACATGTCAAAGTAACATCCACATGAATGCCAGGACCCATGGTTTCCCAGTAGAACATTTCTGTCATGGCCAGAATTACGTTTTACAGTAGCTCTTCTGTAACCGGTCCAGACTGGCTAGCCTTCACTCCCCACATGCATCTATGAGCCTTGGGTCCCATGAGCCGATGCCGGTTCCCCAGTGGTTCTTCCTTACACCACTTTTGGTAAGTATTAACCATTGCACCCTGGGAATACCCCACAAGACTTGCCGTTTTGGAGTTGCTCTGACACAGTCATCTAGCCATCACTATTTGGCCCTCATCAAAGTCACTTACATCTTTTTGCCTGCCCATTTTTCCTTCTTAAAACACATGAAGTTCAAAAACTGACTGTTCACTTGCTGCCTAATACATCCCACCCCTTAACAGGTGCCATTGTAACTATATAATCAATGTTATTTACTTCTCGTGTCAGTGGTTTTAATATTGTGGTTGATATACAATGTATATGTATATATATTGCATTTGTAATATAATGGTTAAAGGTAATCCCTCCCTAGTGCATGAGTGGCAATTTCCCCTCAGTCCTTTTTAAAATGTATATTTTATCCTACAGCTTGACTAATTTTGGTATATCATGCAGATTAAAGAATCTGCCTAAAACCGCTATACTAAAAGCAACGTTGATTCTTTACACTCTTATTTTTGGTATCAAGTGTTTTATTTTTACTCTCTTTTTTTGTAGCAAGCTGTATTTAATCCTATGTTGCTTTAATTTTTTCATTTTATTATACATTTTTGGACATCTCCTGCATAATTAGGCAAATCGAAAGATGCTCAGCAGCCTTAATAAACCCATTTCATCTAGCTACTGTAACGTTTACACTTTTCTGCATATTGAATAAGGATGGTCAATTCTCAGAAATAATAACTGCACATTTATATATTACATTTAGTGTCCCAATAGCTGTATTTATCTGTTTTACATAACTCTTGGATAATGATAGTAGAAACAAGAACATATAGATGAATGAAGTACTAATCTCCTTTTTTCCATTAAAAATAAAAAAAGGAGTCCTTTGATGATTTTCACTTTTACTTCCCATCAAAGTAAGCAAGTGTTAAACAACATGCAATATTTATAAAGGTGTAGATAGAACGTGATCAATTGCTAAGATAGCCTTCAAAGACTGGTTACCTGTTCAAATAAGTTTACTTTTCTATGCATGTATTTTTAAGGTCATTTTATGTTCCTTCGGAAAAAGAATAATTTGAATTCACTCGTTGCGGAGCTAAGAAGTCCGAGATTCAGCCAAGCAGCGTCAGGTTGCACAATGACCTTCTGGTAAGGGTATTCTCTGTAGATGATTTTGATTCATTATTTGGGTTGTGGGAACAAAAGTAATCTTCTATTTCATTTCTTCAGCTTAGAATGTCAAAGAAAAAGCACATCTAAAAAATATAAAAAAAATATATAAAAATTATGATGTTATTACATGATATATTCTGAAATAAAATATTAAAAAATAAAATAACAAAAATGCCTAAATACAGTATGAGAAGATCTGCGAACAACCTGTTTGAATTGCAAGCTTGGTTTCTGGCAAAATCAACTCAGTTTTTGACCTTTCTTTGGCCAATATAGGGAGTACCAGTCTTTTGGATATTACCAATACTAGATTTAAGTAAACTAAAAGTATCCTGCCTGGTTAAATAATTCAATAATATTTTTACAATTTTAATAAGGTTCTCTTTTTATTGCATTCATTAACTCTATTAAGTTTGTTGTTTGATGTCATTAAATAAAGTCCATTCGTTTTACAGTTCTCTAAACATTGCCATTTCTAATTAGTTTCTTAATTCCAGGTATTATAACTATGGATCATCCGTCGGAACTTCAGAAATGCATTTGCATGTGGATAGTCAGAAAATACCCACCATAGTGTGGAAGACTTACTATGATCAGGGATATCAGTGGATGAAGGCCTTCATTCAGCTTGATCGGCTTTCAGAACCGTTTCAGTTATCGTTGGATAAAAGGAATCTTGAGCACTATAATGGAGTGTCAGCAATTGACGACATTGTATTTGAGAACTGTTCGCTTCCTCCTCCTGCAGCAGAATGTGAAGGGCCTGATGTTTTCTGGTGTAAACATACCAAAGCTTGCATAAGCAACCTATTGGTGTGTGACCTTATTGATGATTGTGGAGATGCGTCTGATGAAGTCAATTGCTGTAAGTTCTTTTTTGACAAAATTCTAAAGATTACTTTCAGAAGAAATATTAGTGAAAATTGTGCTTAATAACATTTTTTAATATTTATGTTGAGACACAAAACTCACCTGAAGTAATATATTCACACGTTATCACCCATTTTATTATTGTTGTTACTTCAATGGTCAATTATGTTTTACAGTCTTGTGGCGTCTTCTCAGGGGCTCATACACACATGGGGACAGAATCGCACTGTAACTCACACTAGTCTCATGCAACACAGTAAACAACTCCTCTTAACCTCTACATTACCCTAACTCTTATAGTACGTTACCACTAATGCAAACCTTAGCTCTAGCCATAACAATAATCCAGTGCATAAAGTTTATCCTGACACAAACCATAACGCCATCTCTAACACATTAACCCTTAATAGTCTTAATATGTCATGTAATCTAAAAGATGCAGAACTGTTAGGCCGTCGATGGGTTCTAGAGACATATGTAAAACACCAAACCTTTGTTTTTGTGATATGGTATATTGTAGTCCATAAGAAAATCTCCATTGGGAGAATAGGGAGAGTCCAGCAAAACATATCCATCAAAATTGTGGGTAAATCATCTAGTTGCACCCTTACCTGGATATTATTATGTCTGGTTTAGGAGATCCTTTCTGGTAGTTTTTATTTGTTCAATAAATATCTCTTAAGAGATTGTCCTCTTAGAACAATGGTTCCTAACCTTTTTTGACTTGAGTACCCCTTGGCAGACCATTTCCATAAATTGTATCCCTATATTAGCAAAATGTTTGTAATTAATATAGTTGCTATTATTTCAAATGTATATGTTTTTTTCCCTGCAAATTTCCCCTTTTTTTATGCCTGCTGTTCCTCTGACAGTGGGTGTGGGAGTGTGACTGTGTGGGGGCAGTGTGTGGGAGGGTGACATTGTGGGGGCGCAATGTGTGGATAGTGTGGGAGGGCATGCAACAGTGTGGGAAAAGTGCGTGACAGTGTGGGGGGAGGACAGGTGACAGAGCGTGGGGGCACTGTTTGGGGAGGGTGTCAGTGTCGGGGAGTGGGGTGACAGTGTGTCAAAAGGGGATTGTGGGGGGTCATTATGTGGGGAGGGCAGTTGGGGGGACAGTGTGTGGAGAGGAGGACAGTGTGGAAGGAGAACAGGTGACAGTATGTGGGGGTAGTGTTTAGGGAAGGTGACAGTGTGGGGGAGGACAGGTGTAAGTGTGTGAGAAGGTTGACAGTGTGTGGGGATGTTGGTGACAGTTTGGGGAGGTTTATTACAGTGTGAGGGAGGGGGTGACAATGTGGCTGTGTGTGACAGTGTGGGAGGGGGACAGGTGAAAGTGGGGGGGCAGTGTGTGGGGAGGGTGACAGTGTGGCATAACATTGTGAGGAGGGCAGAGGGCAATGTGGGTGAGGACAGGTGACAGTGTGGGAAGGGGTGACAGTGTGTGGGGATGGCAGGTACCAGTGTGAGGGGAGTTAGGTGACAGTGTGGAGTGAGGGGACTGAAAGTGTGGAGAGGACACGTGACAGTGTGTGGGGGCAGTGTGTGGGAGGGTGGCAGTGTGGGAGCTGGAAGGAGGATGGGTGACAGTATGGGTGTTAGTGTTGGGGCAGAGTGTGGAAAGAGGACAAGTGTCAGGTGTGGGAGCGAGACAATGGAGAGGGGGCATTGACAGTGTGGGTGGGAGACAACGGAGAGGGGGGCAGAGACAGTTTGGGAGGGTGACAGTGTGGAGGGGGGCAGTGACTGTGTAGGAGGGAGACAGTATGGAGGGGGCAGTGACAGTCTGGGAAGGAGACAGTGGGTACGGGACAGTTGCAGTGGGGAGGGGGCAGTGACAGTGTGGGAGGGAGACAGTGGGGAGGAGGGAGGGACAGTGGGGAGGAGGGATGCAGTGACAGCGTGGAAGGGTGGTAGTAGGGAGGAGGGCAGTGTGGGAGGGTGACAGTTGAAAGTGGGCAGTAACAGTGTGGAAGGATGACAGTGAGGAAAGAGATAGTGGCGGGGGCAGTAATAGTTTGGGAGGGAGACAGTGGGGAGAGTGACAGTGGGAAGGGGCAAAGTGACAGTATGGAAGGATGACAGGAGGAAGGGGGGCAGTGACAGGATGGGAGGGAGACAGTGGGGAGGGCAGTTGGGGGGACAGTGTGTGGGGAGGAGGACAGCGTTGAAGGAGAATGCTGTTAAAAGATACTTATCTACGTTTCATTTCTTTACATCCTTTGACTAAGCTCCCCTGTTAGTGAATAAAAGTATAGAATAATCAATGAGGGAAATATTTAGTAATTATTTTGCATTTTAGATCCTTCATGCCATGACTGTCATGATATTATATGATTTGAATATTCCCTTATCCTGACGATTTGTCCAGTTTGCCTTTGCACTCAGTAAACAGCTCCATTTCAGCAAAAACGCTGTAAATACAAACCTACAATTAATATTGCAAAACCAGATAGTGCTTTATTTACAAATTATGAATGAAATCGAACTCGTTTTATTCATGTCAGTAGTATCATCTATAGAAAATAACAGATAGATGTAGTGAAGAATTTAAAATATTCACCAAGGTTGTGACACTATAGGATTTGTTTATTTATAATTTGCCACCATTCTCAACTGTACTGCAGCATACAAACCCAAACATACAAAGGGAATATTTACGATCACTAGACTATACATATTTAAACATAGCTATTTTATACTGAAAAACTATATCTCACAGCAGAAGCTGCTATTGAGCATGCAGCAAGAACGAAAAATCTGTTTCTAAACAGCATGCAACCATGTTCATTAGGCTCATTCCACTGCTTATTAACTTTCAAATGATTTTTGGAAAGATTTTTCTTTCCTCCTGAATTTAGGACATGTGATACTTATAATTAATTGGAGACTGAGTGAACTTAAATTAACCTCCTTCTGTGATAATGTAATTATGGTGAATTAAGTAATTTAGATCGGAAATGCAAAATGAATATTGAGTGCCCTCTTTTAAAATCCTTGATTCTTAACGCCCTACAATAAGCTGGAATAATGTAACAATATTTTGCTAATGATTTCGAAGACTAGCACACTTACAAACGATTGCTAAGAAGTGTAGTTTTAAATGCGCAGTAGTTTTCAATATTATTGTACAGACAAAAGGAGCTTACATATTATATTTTTGATAATTTAATATTTTGCAGATATCATTTTAAAAGTGTATACAAATTTTTTTAAAGCTTATTTAATAATATTAAATTGAGGCTGAAATCAGGACTGTTGCTCTTGATACAAGATGCTTGGGAGGTCTTACGTCAGCCATGCAAAAAAGCAAGAAAGATGATCACATTACACTTTGCATGCTTATTCCTTACAAGCCGTAAACATGTTCTGTCAAGTAGAATTTACTTATCTAAAACGGAAGGATGGTAGTTTTAGCTTACCAACATGGATTATTAATCTTTAATGATAAATAAATTGAAAAACTCCCAAAGATGTAATATTAAGTTGGACGTGTTAATCACGGTAGTTTCAGTTACAATAGTCACATTTGCTAATTTGAAGCAGTTTATAGCTAGCTCTTGTATGGTTAAGCTTTAAACACAGATCCTCCCCAGCCATCTATCTCAGGAGTCTTTAAAAAACCAAAACCTGTATTTATGCACTCTAAACATTTTAATATTTTTTTTTTCCTATGGAAAGCTATGTTTGGATATTTGTAATTTTTTGCTAAAAATTAGCACGCTACAAATACACATAGCGCTATAATAAATATACATACTTGGTGTATTCTTTCTTTTTAGTACCTGAATTACAGTGTAACTTTGAAGGTGGACTTTGTAATTGGGTTCAAGATTTGGAAGATGATTTTGACTGGACAATAAATCAAGGCTCAACACCAACACTTGATACAGGTCCCATGAAAGATCATACTTTTGGGACAGCAAAAGGACATTACTTCTACATAGAGACTTCGGAGCCGCAAGTATACCGGAATCAAGCTGTTATATTAAGTCCGATCATAGAGGCCACAGTTAATAACGGCAACAAAACTTGTATTTTCCGCTTCTTCTATCACATGTACGGGAGGCAAATGTATTCCCTGGCAATCCACAAAAGGATAATGAAGAACAGTAGAGGACAATTATTATGGCAAGTATTTGGAAACAAAGGGAACAGATGGCTTAAAAAAATTCTGTATATAAACAGCTCACAACCATTCCAGGTATGAATGCACAATATAAAAATGTAATTAAAAAAAAAAAAAGTATTCCTAAACCATATTACAAAATTGTTTGTTGCATATTCTTAATATTATTTGACTTTAGTTTCTGTTTATAGTGTATAGTGTGTATGCACCAAGCAACAGATAAGTCAAGACAGAGATATATTGATGTTATGAAACAAGTATTTGAAAAACTTACAATCTAAAAAGGGATATGAAACAAAAATCACAACTAGCAAAGAATGTGTGTAAAATTGCCGAAATAATCAAAATAACACTTGGGGACACACTCGGTCTAGATTTCTATAAGAATGTCTCGACCTCTTTAAATAGTTTTATTTAGAATGTGTTAAGGAACGAAGAGAATCAGAAATTATGTGGAAGATCAAAAGCTAGGGGGCAGTTTCAGTAATGTTTGTATGTGGCAGAAACACGTTCTGATAAGAGAGAGGAAAAGCCCTTGGTTGCGGGAACAACAAAAGGGCTGCTTCGGGAAGTGCTCTGCATAAAAGGGAATAGATGTAGAGATCAGTATGGCGGGGCATAGAAAATGAGGTCAAGATTTTATTCTTTCTAGACTTCACAGGAAGTCTCCGTAGGGTTTCTCAAATTGTTTTAGTAGAAGGAAAATGAGCTGAATAGCAGAATTTTGATTAGGTTTAACATGAGTCAAATGGTCCAATGAAAAAAGGGGCCAGCTATCATTCTCACAGTATGCGCACACACACACACTTTCAGTTGCTTATCTAGACAACAGTGATGCAAGACTGATTTGACTGAGTCCACTTTAGTGTTTCTCCTAATGACACATTGATAGAGTTAGGGAAACTTCCATGCTTAGGGTAGAATGATGTAGACGGAGTCAGTGTCACAGAACCAGCTTGATATTATTCCAGGCTCTGTTCTATAGTGTAGTCAGAGTCTATTTCACATTACCAACTCAATCTTCATTTCAACTTGTCATGGGATATAGATAGGTTCTCTCAAACACAAGCAGTTTAATCTCAACTTTCCTTTTTTGTAATATAGATTGATGAACATATTCTCGCACTGCCACATATCTATATCCATTTCTAATCTTTATATATTATAATAGCCTTCTATATTCAGGATGTTGTCCTGTTTTACCCTGAGGAAAGTCCAGAGCGGGGACTGAAACGTTGGTCTCTTATTTTAAACTGAACTAAATAAAGCATTGGAATTTTAAAGTCCAGTGAGTGGCTATCCTTTGGCACAGAATATATATATATATATGTGCATGGATATTAAATTTAATCATGTGGGGTTAAAGCAGAATTAGCGAGATACATTTCATTGAGCCTTGTCTTGGCATTCTTTATAAAGATAATTAGACCATATGTGCTAGGTCAATATGTGGCTTCAATACAAACATCCAAAGTAATCTTCTTTTTACATAATTAATTAGTGATACAAAACAATATTACTCCAGGTGCATATTTTAAGGGGAACTTATAGTTCACTATTTAGTCACTTTGTTGGGAAGAAGACTAAAGTAATCCATACCATTATGTTTGAGTCATGTTACCACAGTTCTCCCCAATCATGCATTTCTTCATGAAAGTTAATTACTACTAGAGTTACCAGTCAATTGCACCCCAAATAGAAATAACAGGGCCTCAAATGCAGGTAGATTTGCTGATGTGTCGAATCCTAGAAACCTAGCTCATTTTGAATGATGAGTTATAGGAAAGTTAGGAAATTTGCATAAACCAGCATCAAGTGCCATGCTGTGCCTTTGCATCGAAGATTAGCTTTGTAAATAACTGCATCAATATTTCTTAACTCCTGAGTCAAAATCCAAAACCTTGGTTTTCATAGGCTGAAAAAAACGTATACTGTATTCAACATCTCCAAGGCAACTGAACACATTAAATTGCTTGCTGTAGCTACATCATCTGTCTGTCTGTCTCTATTCATCTCTCCGTCTGTCTCTCTCTTTTTTTACTATTTACTAAAATAGTACATTATTATAAACAATAATATAATATCTCACTTTGTTTCCTGAATTTTCAAAGACAATTTTTTTTTTACTAAGAAATTGCAAATGAAGTGGACACTAAAATAACCAAGAATAAAAAATCCCTACATTGTTGAGTTGGAATTCTTTCCTAATTCAGCTATTTTCGAATAAAAAAAAAACAAAAACAATTCTCTCCATGTGTTATATATACACGTTTCCATAGGATTGAAACACGATTCATTCCAATCAGGGTTTTATAAATTAACTTAATCAATTCTTATCACTGTGAAATGGAATATGGAGAATCCATTATTTTTTTCATGACGTCTTGCAAATCAGAATGATTTCCCTGTAGCTCGTAATGATTACTAAAACAGGCTATAGCATTAAATCCCCTGTCAAAAAATGCATTCTTCGTCGATCTAGAGAAATGTAGTGCTATTTGTCCTTATTTAATTTTGAAATAAGATGTGAAATGAACTTCATGGTAGCGGCAATCCCTTGAGATTGTCAAATATTAACATACAAGGTTTTCTTCAAATGGCAATTCATTGAATGATGGTCAACACATTTGTACCTCTGAAATCCAATTACAGAGATTTACTGAGAGCCTAAAAATATACAAAAAGTAGATTCGAAATTGACCCTGTTGGTAAATTTGCAGATTCAGTGTTGCAGAACAGCAAAGTACCATTGGGATCAGCTTTGTAACTAACATTTTTAAATTGAGACAGTGGACATTTCAGCTTGTATTCCATCCAAGCTTACAACACATACATGCTATCTCTTGATATATACTTTTATCTTTCAAAATTGTAATATAAACTGGACATTGGACACTTTTCCCTATATAAACTAGCACAAAAAAAACAGTCCTATACATGTACAGAACCAAGAAAAATTCCAGTGAAAATGAAATAATAGATACCTTAAAGAACCAACGTTTTCACATGCTGAAATAATGATGCTGCAAAAGTCATATTGGTAAGAAGAGGGTTCTCCTCATTCTGGTTTTATTAATTTGTAATGCCAATGGTTGGACTAGAGTGAACTATTGAACTAACACTGGTTAGATTCACTCTGACATTTTGTCTTTTGCTTACCCCTCTTCCTCACTCCAAATAAATACCGTTGCAATACACCCACTTTCTTTGGGGTGAAGGTGTGAATTATGTTGAAGCAACATGACGGGAAGAGGCAAGTTCTATTGGACCACCAAATAAAATATTTACCTTCTCCTGACCTAAGAATATTGAATATAAGTAACCATTTGCACTGAAACATCTTGGTCATTTTATATATCCCACGTACAAAGACCCCGGTTTCACTCTTCCCATATAGATACTATAGAAGGACAATCCTTACTTTGAAACAATAATTTTGCTTCTCTCACATAGACACATGAGATTAAAGGCTGTGTTAGATGTTGTGAAAAACCAAATGTGGATAGTGAAAAAACTGACCCTCAAAGTAGTGCAGGCAAGCCACTATATATAGGGATGCACTCCCTGTATCCCTTAACCAAATGTGCAAAAAACAAAACTGTATATACTATACAGAAATAGGGCGCCACTTATCACCAAATATAAAAACTGGATATAATTACCCTCCAGCGAATGAATGGGAATATTCACATAAAAGATATAAAAAGAGAAAACATCATAGTGCAAACTTTTAATTCCAAAGTGATAAAAACACATAAATTAAAACACTCACAAACGATGTGGCACAATTGACAAAATCAATGTGTGCTAAAATGCTGATGCAAAATAGATAAAATAGGCTAAATCTCCCGGTCTAGCAGTCTGTGGAGGTCTTTGCAAAAACGCGTTTCGTCTATTCCTGTTCAGACTTCTTCAGGAGCGTATCCGGAACCTTCTCTATTCGGCATTTAAATATACCGGGTAGCGTCCTTTCTGTGCAATTGCGCATGCGCGACCGGGCGCCGATGTGATGAAATGGTCTTGATTGAATTTTTCATGTTGGTAATATGTTGGATTCACATATTATAATTACATGCACATATATCATTATCCTTTTCCCTCTCCCTTAGTTTACTGTATATTTTATATGTTTTAATTACTGGAACATTCTCTATATGTGCACCCAATATATGGTAGCATTGGGACACATATCGGTTCTTTTTTTGTGAGTCCTGTTGCTTAGAACAATAAAGTTTTTTGCTTGCGTTCCACGGTGGAACGCATATACGCGACGGACGCCGGCGGATGGTATGTCATCATGTCGGTGCCCGGTCGCGCATGCGCAATTGCACAGAAAGGACGCTACCCGGCATATTTAAATGACGACTAGAGAAGGTTCCGGATACGCTCCTGAAAAAGTCTGAACAGGAATAGACGAAACGCGTTGAGCAGATAGAGCAGATATCGACTCGGGAATCTGAAGCAGCTGATGCTGAATCATTTGATCTACACTTGTTGCAGCTTTTGCACAGACCTCCACAGACTGCCAGACCGGGAGATTTAGCCTATTTTAGGCATCAGCACTTTAGCACACATTGATTTTGTCAATTGTGCCACATCGTTTGTGAGTGTTTTAATTTATGTGTTTTTATCACTTTGGAATTAAAAGTTTGCACTATGATGTTTTCTCTTTTTATATCTTTTATGTGAATATTCCCATTCATTCACTGGAGGGTAATTATATCCAGTTTTTATATTTGGTGATAAGTGGCGCCCTATTTCTGTATAGTATATACAGTTTTGTTTTTTGCACATTAGATGTTGTGAAGCCTTAGCCGCAGGTCAGTCCCTTAATCCTCCCCAATCCCATCATCTCTTCATCAACCCCTTCCCTGTAGTCCCAATCAGTCATATTCTGCCAGGCCAAAAACCTTTTGTCCAATAGTCCAAATTACATTACACCCATCCTCCAATCATATTTCTCATTCCCCATGAGTGGAAACTCATCACCCCATGCCTAATAGTCCTAGTTAAATCCCCAGATCCCCATAATCATTTTATCACCCTCACCTTGACTATCGATAACCACTATGTATAGACATCACATTTGTACTTCATGTAGCATAGTGATAATGATACAAAACTATACAAAGTGGTTTCTTTTTTTAGACTTTGTCTACGTCACATTGCAAAAGTGAATGATAGCCAACGAAAAATCTCTATATGATTTTCAGAATAGTTAAATAACTTTAGCATGCAGTATGCAGTTATTCAGCACAATTCATTAACCTCTTAAGGACTAGTGATATGTCATGCTTTATTTAACACCTCTGAAAATCCATTTCTGGCATGGAATGTCCTAATGAGTAAACTCTATACAGCTCTGCAATCACTTGATATAAAATCTTTAAAAGCTAAACCAGCTATGGGTGAAATTATTCCTTGATTGGTTCTTAATAGGTTAAATATATACAGTGTGAATTTATCAGAGAGGTTTTTTTTTTTTTCCTGTATATTGGCTTTGTTCTATTTCTATTTTAATTTGTAGCACCTTCGATTATATTCGCAAAATGTGTTTATTAGGTATTTGTGTAATGATTGTAACATGTTCTTTAGCATAGATCCATATTTATCTTTCAGCTGACGATCACAGGCACAGTGGGTGATGGGTTTACTGGAGACATTGCAATCGATGACCTCTCATTTTTGGACTGCACCCTGTACAATGGTAACATTTAAAAACCTAATTATTTCACACTTAATCAGTCTGACAGAAAATGTTTTAGATTTACTTTTACATGTAAATATATTTTGTTCATGTTCTTTAACCCTTTAAGGACCAAACTTCTGGAATAAAAGGGAATCATGACATGTCACACATGTCATGTAGCCTTAAGGGATTAAACATATTTTTTTCATTCTTTTAATATTTAACAAAGTCATGTTATATAATAAGAACTATATTGAAAGCTAAAAAAAAAACCTTTCACTGTGTGGTATATACACCCACCCCAGTGAAACAGTGGAGCGCTAGAAATTTAGTCACTTACCCTATAATTTCGGTAAGTTTTAATGTGCTATAATGACAAAAATACTAACATAGTGTGGTATATCCAGTACTATACAGAGGATATTACTAAATATTGGTACACTCACATTCAACTGAGCCCCACAGGATAGGCTCAGATCACTTGGGCAGATGTGTACTATGGTGACACTTCCCCTCTTCCTCTGTATCTGGATATATATGGAATACAGAAAGTGGGAGAAAACCTAGTGCAATATGTCAATATTCAAAAGTGCATATGAATGGGGTTGCAGAACTGCTCACCTTCTCAAGAACCTATTGTACTTGGCTCTTAGTTTGAAGACTCTTGTGTCTATAAAGGGGACACAGAACCCTTCTTTCAAACAGGATCCAAGGTTCAAGGCAAGGAAATACACAATTTATTTTAGTATATGTTCTTACTTGTTTCTTTGCATAATCTGTTTTGGATGGTGGATGGCCTCATGACCTATTGCCGTTACATAGACGATCTATTTTTTATTTGGAAAGGTACTGAAGCCTCTTTGATATAATTTTTAAATGTAGTCCACTACATCAGGAGTGCCGAAGGTTGCCTACCCCCGTCAGAGTGTATGTAGTGGATTTCTTTTTAAGCTGGCATGTTAGCCAGGGCAGACTGTAATTTTATACATTTATTTATTGATATCATATTGATTTGTGTTATTTTAGCAAACACATTATTGATTCATAAATTCCAAACAGTACATAAAACTGTTGTAATTATGTATAAAACTATATACATCAATGGACATGGTTCTGTGTCCCCTTTATGGACACAAGAGTCTTCAAACCAAGAGCCAAGTACAATAGGCTCTTGAGAAGGTGATCAGTTCTGCAACCCTATTCATATGCACTTTTGAATATTGACATATTGCACTAAGTTTTCTATCACTTTCTGTATTCCATATATTTCCAGATACAGAGAAAGAGGGGAAGTGTCACCATAGTACACATCTGCCCAAGTGATCTGAGCCTATCCTGTGGGGCTCAGTTAAATGTATGTGTGCCAATATTGAGTAATACCCTCTGAATAGTACTGGCTATACTAGACTATGTTAGTATTTTTGTCATTGTAGGATGTAAAAACTTACCGAAATTATTGGGTAAGTGACTAAATTCCTAGCGCTCCACTGTTTCACTGGGGTGGGCGTATTTACCACACAGTAAAAGTTTTTTGTTTACTTCTGTGAGGAACATTCACACAGAGGTGATAGCAGCTCACTAATATAATATATCTTTTCACTGTTTAAGCGCCTGTAACACAAACCTTTTGTTTTTTGTATATTGTAAGCCACCTTGGGTAGTAAAAGGTGTAATGTTTATGAGTAATACATATAATTAACCACTGCCCTTTACATTGATGTATATCGTTTTATACATAATTACATAATAACAGTTTTATGTACTGTTTGGAATTTATTTATCATTAACACAAATCAATTTGATATCAAGAAATAAATGTATATAATTACAGTCTGCCCTGGCTCACATGCAAGCTTAAAAAAAAATAATCAACTATATACACTCTGACGGGGGTAGGCAACCTTTGACACTCCTGCTATTGTGGACTGCATCTCCCATGATGCTCTTACAGCCTACTGGTACCTACTGGTGTCTTACTCCACATAGGAGCAGGAATATCCACTTGGGCGACTGAATAGTTTAGAATGTATCAGAACAATGTCCAAGTAAGAGCATTTTACACTCTCAACTCAGGAAGAGAAGCCTGCACATACTAACACTTTAGTGACAGACAAATCTATTATTTAAAGCAGCTAAATATATATTAAACATAGCAATAACATAACTATATAATCTCTATATCTTTTAATATTTAATAAAGTCATGTTATGTTAAAACAACTATATTGTAAGCAACCTTGGGTGTTAAAAGGTGTAATGTTTATGAGTAATTCATATAGTTAACCACTGCCATTTCCATTGATGTATATAGTTTTATACATAATTACAACAGTTTTATATACTGTTTGGCATTTATTAATAAATAAAATGTTTGCTAAAATAACACAAATCAATATGATATCAAGAAATAAATGTATATAATTACAGTCTGCCCTGGCTAACATGTCAGCTTTAAAAAATCCACTATATACACTCTGAAGGGGGTAGGCAACCTTCGGCACTCCTGATGTTGTGGACTACATCTCTCATGATGCTCTTACAGCCTCAATGCTGACAAAGCATCAGGGGAGATGTAATCCACAAATTCTGGTTGCCTACCACTGCACTATGATAACAGGTATGATGTCATCAGGTCTGTAGATGAATAAGATGATGCACACCACTGAGGAAAGAAAAACTTACTAGAGTGATTTCATTTGGAAAAAGAAAGTTGCCCAAGCAGTCTTCATCTTAATTGCTAGTGAAGACCATGATACGTCAGAAGCATGACCATCCTGACAAAAGGCACAGGGCCAGGACTTAGTTTATGGCTGATGCCTACTGGTGTCTTACTTCACATAGGAGCAGGAATATCCACTTGAGTGACTGCATAGTTTAGAATGTATCAGAACAATGTCCAAGTAACAGCATTTTACACTCTTAACTCAGGAAGAGAGGCCTGCACATACTACCACTTTAGGGACAGACAGTCACGGGTGGCAGTCTGAAGACTGGGACCCCTGTATGCCTGTTGATGATGATAGGAGTCACAGTGTGGAAATGGACTATCAGGGCCTGGTGCTGGGTAACCACACGCCCCCTGGTGTTGAGCACCAGCGTTTGTGCTGCCTCATACAAGGGCCCTGATGCAGCTTCTGCAGATCCTAGGGGCTAGATGATAATATGCAGACCTCCCAGGATCTGGATAGGGAGGCTCTGCAGCAGATATGTATCCAGTACTTGAAACAAGGCAAGACTAGAACAGGCACCAAACAAGATAGCAAGACAAGACTAGAA